GAAGCAGATTGGCTGGAAAGAGGGCCAGAGAATGGATCCTCAAAAAGAACAAACTTCCCTGGCTTCAGATACGCAGATGCAGCTATACATCTTTTTACTGATGTGGTATTCAGCTGAGTTTTTCCTCCCAACCAGGCAGGCTGGCCTTTGCATATCTGACGGCTAAGCTCTCTTTCTGCGTTGCCTCTCCCAGCACACAAACAGCCCCCGACCTCAGTCATCCGCATTATGGCGACTTGTAATATAATGCAGTCTATGTTCTGTGGTTGTGAATGATGGGGGCTCGGGGTGGTTTGTGCCCTGGGAGAGGTATCTAGCAGTAATCCCACTCTAGGCCCCTCTCTTTCCAATGGTACGTTCGCCCCTCTATCTCTGGCTGAGTCCTGCAGACTTTCCTTTTTTTCTCCCTTCTTGGCCTTCGTGGTTGTTTCCCTCTTTTTCTCCACACTCACTATCTTGCATATTCCCAACTTTGTCAGGCAAATCTATCCCTTTGGAACTCACATTTACAGCAAACTTCCAAAAACCATAAGAGTCCCATTCAGTAGTTGATGGTCAAAGCAGAACCATCTCTGCAGCCCCCCAGAATTAGGAATGGGGCCTTCTACGTTGGAGTAAAAATGTCCATCCTTATCTGAAGATGGGAAGAGAGAACTGGAGGCTGGGGAGAGAATTAAAAAGGAGGGAAGAAGGGAAAGTCTTAAGCTAGAGAAAAAGCAAAGCCTTTGGATGAGAAGGGAAAAGGCATCCATTCCCCCCGAGAGGAGACAAAATACAAACCTGGACTGGGCTGAGCAACAGGGAGCCTCTGGAGCATGTGTCACTCACTCTCTCTTCGAGGCTCCAGGCAGTCACACAGGGTCCATCTTGACTGAACAAGGGGTGGGGAATGACAACAGTTCTGTCTTCTCCACCTCCATGTCTAGGCTGTCTTAGGAATCCTTTCAATCCACTCCTTATCCCATTTCCTCAGAGTCCTCATCATTCATGTTGAGGAATGATTGTTTCTGCCCTTCTTCTTCCCAGCAGATAACTGGAAGAAGAGCCATGTGTGCACCAAACACAGGACGCATTTGGGACACAATGGGGACCTTCCTGGACACCAGCAAACTCACAGTGAAAATGGAGATTCTGCCAGAGAAAGGCCCTACAAATGCAATGTATGTGGACAATGTTTTACGCAAAATATGGGACTTATACTTCACAAGACAGTCATTGCTGGGAGAAGCCATTGTAAATGGAGAATATCAGCAAAATGTATTGCTGATTACGAATCGCCACATCGGAGCCAAGAAGAAATCTTTCAAGGAACTGATCATATCATAAGCTGGGAATGTGGGACATCTTTTATGCAGAGTTCACACTTGAAACATGAGCGATTTCACACAGGACAGAAACCATATAGATGCCAGGAGTGTGGAAAGCATTTTGCTTCCCCTTCACGATTGATGAGGCACAAAAAGCTTCACACAGGAAAGAAAGGGTACAAGTGCCAGAAGTGTGGGAAATGTTTTGCTGACCATTCAGCCTTGGTGATACACAAAAGAGTCCACTCAGGAGAGAAGCCATACCAATGTGAGGAGTGTGGGAAATGTTTTGCTCGCAGTTCACCCTTGGTGAGGCACAAAAGAGTCCACACAGGAGAGAAGCCATACAAATGCCAGGAGTGTGGGAAATGTTTTGCTCAAAGTTCAGACTTGACGAACCACAAAAGACTCCACACAGGAGAGAAACCATACCAATGCCAGGAGTGTGGGAAATGTTTTACTTACAGTTCAAGCTTGGTGAGCCACAAAAGAGTCCACACAGGAGAGAAACCATACCAATGCCAGGAGTGTGGGAAATGTTTTGCTTACCCTTCAGACTTTGTGAACCACAAAAGACTCCACGCTGGAGAGAAACCATAGCAATGCCAGGAGTGTGGGAAATGCTGTCCTGACCGTTCAGCCTTGGTGAACCACAAATGTTTTGCTTACCCTTCCACACAGCAGAAAAACCATATGAATACCAGGTGTGTGGCAAATGTTTCGCTTACAGTTCACACTTGGTGAGGCACAAAAGACTCCACGCAGGACAGAAGCCTTAGAAATGCCAGGAGTGTGAGAAATGTTTTGCATTCCCCACACTCGCAAAAAACTACACAAGGGATAGAAAGGTTAAAAGACCCAGAAGTATGGGAAATGTTTTATTTTGATGTCCTCCCATAACAAGCACTAGAGAATATACAGAGGCTAAAAACATACAAATGCTAAGACATGTGGGAAATTTTTTAGTTGAGGTTCTTAACTTTTGAACTGTCACAGACTACATTCAGGAGAGACATCATCCAAAGAGCTGGGACAAAATTAATAAAATGTTTTGCGACAGGGAAATGGCAGATGAAATGGCTTCCAGTAACACTTGGCTTGACTTTGGGCTCATTTCTTTGACCATTTTCTTCTTAGTGTCATGCTACCCGTGCTTTAGACTGCCTTAGTCAGACCACATCTGGAATCACACACACACTCTCTCTCTTTCTTTTCTCTCTCTCTCCCACTTTTTCTATCTTTTCTTAATTGCTTTTAAATGTTTCTATGAAAAAGTTTCAATAAAGATTTTATTTTAAAAAGAAAAGTTGGGGAGCAATGAGCAATGGTTGGACAGGGAGAGAATAGATCTAACTAACCATCCCAGAAATACAGATTTTTCTTCTTCTTTATTTGAAGCCCCCGTTGGTGTTGTGGGTCCAACCCTTGTGCCCTCCGCAAAATAGCCCACTTATAAAGAAAATAGAAAATAAGTGACTTCAGCGAATCATTGTAGAAACCTGTTAAACTCTTCAAATTCACAGTAATCACAATTATTATTATATGGATTCTATACAATCCCTCTGAAATGGGATCAGCGCCGTGTCTTCTTCTGCCGAATGGAATAGGACCGGTTTGGGCCTCACTCCAGGCCTTCCTCTGGCGGTCAAGTTATGAACGTGACACTTGTTCTCCTTCAAGAGAAAGGTTTTTATACTCAGTGGGATGGGAGATTTATTATTTACTAGCTGTCCCCTGCCACACATTGCTGTGGCCCAGTCTGTGTGTATGTGTTTTGTGTGTGTATATGTGTGTTTGTGTATATATGTGGTTTTTCACATGTGCTGTAATGTGTTTTTTTGTTTGTTTTTTTTTGGCTTTTTAAGTCTCTTCTGCTGTGTTTTTCCACATTTTTATGAGTGATGGTCACTTGTTGGCCTGATAGGTTTATTGTGTCCAAATTTGGTGTCAATTTGTCCAGTGGTTTTTGAGTTATGTTAATCCCACAAACGAACATTACATTTTTATTTATCTAGATTTATTATTTCCAATATTTCTATCCTGTTCCTTCTCAACCTCTGAAGGGGGGCTCGGGATGACTTACATTTGGCAGCAATTGGATGCCATTACATATAACAGAGCAATATAATAACAATCAAAACAATAAGTAAAACTTTCATTAAAACAGTCAAAAACAGTTTTAACAGCTGTATCACCATTCCAGCCAATTCCATATCTAATTTCATGTCCAATGTGCTATCTAGTCCTAAAGTCTGGTCCCAGGACCACAATTTCTTCCTAAATGACAGGAAGGACGGAGCCGATCTTGCCTCGGTGGGAAACGGGTTCCACAGGCGGGGGGCCACAGCCGAGAAGGCCCTGTATCTCGTCCCCGCCAGACGTATTTGCGACGCCGGTGGGAGCGAGAGCAGGGCCTCCCCGGATGATCGTAAACTGCGAGGCGGGACGTAGAGGAAGATGCCCTCGGAGAAGTAAGCTGGGCCAGATGCTCTGCTGTGGGTTTGATTCTAATCTCTTGTGCCGCCAGGGCTGATGACTGAAAGGTCTGTGGTTCGATTCCGGGGAGCAGGGTTGAAGTAGGCCTCAAGGGTCTCTGAGTAAGGGGCTTTTGGGTAAAAGCAAACAAAACCAGCAATTTTAGCAATAAGCTGAAGCTTCAAAATATAACAGAGTGCAGACAGGAAATCGTCATGGTTTCCTGTGCTTTCTTTAGTTAAAAGGTTAAAAAATTTTGTTTTCGAAACACAGAGGCCACGTGTACAGAAGGTACTTTTCCATCAAAAAGGTCAAAACTATTTTTTGCATAAAAGGCGTTTTCCTTGAGCTCTCTGTTTTGTAAAATGCTAGTGCTATATAAAGTTGCAGATTTTCAAGGGACACACGGCAGTCATTTTGAAGGTAACTTCTGTGCAAGTTGCTTGGCTGTCCGTCTTCTTCATGAAGAAACTAAAATAAAACCTTGTTTTTTGATCTTTTATTGGGACTGTTTCCATCCTTCCGTGCTCCCGCGACTGGACCTAAAAAGACCCAAATTTAGGGTCTCTAACAGGGTTAGGAGCCCCCGGTGGCGCAGTGGGTAAAGCGCTGAGCTGCTGAGCTTGTTGATCGAAAGGTCGCAGGTTCGATTCCGGAGAGCGGCGTGAGCTTCCGCTGTCAGCCCTAGCTTCTGCCAACCTAGCAGTTCGAAAACATGCAAATGTGAGTAGATCAATAGGTACCGCTCCGGCGGGAAGGTAAGGGTGCTCCATGCAGTCATGCCAGTGGCCACATGACCTTGGAGGTGTCTACGGACAACGCCGGCTCTTCGGCTTAGAAATGGAGATGAGCACCACACCCCAGAGTCAGACATGACTGGACTTAATGTCAGGGGACTACCTTTACCTAACAGGGTGAGCTTCCGACTGGCAGCTCCAGCTTCTCATGTGGGGACATGACAGAAGCCTCCCACAGGATGGGAAAACCTCCCCTGGGCAACCAGAAGTAACTTGCAGCTTCTCAAGTCATTCCTCGTACAAAAAAGACAAAACCATCTTTCATCCTTTGTTTGCAGGGCTTTGGAGAGAGAGAGAGGCTCTTTCCCCTCCTTTCAGGGTCAGCCTGGGCAAGGAAGGGTTAAGGGGAGCGAGTGTGGTCTTCCTAGAGAGGCAGGAAGGAAGTGGGCCTCCTTATATTACCTTTCCTGCCCCTCTAGGAACCAGACTCCCTCCCCTTAACCCTTCCTTGCCTGGCTGGGAGAGGAGAGCGTCCCCTTTGGCCTCTCCTTCCTCTTCCTCCTCCTGGTTTGTTTCCTCCTCCTCCTCCTCCTCCTTCCTCTTCTCCTCCTTCAGGTGAGTCTTCTTCCCATTCACTAGACCACGCCATTCGAGTCCACACTCCCTGCTCTGCTCCCCTTCCTTTGATTCTTTAGACATCCACTGAAGGGTTTCCATTCTTCTTCAAGTTTGTGAATATTGGTTTGTTTTGCAGCCAGAGTTAATTTCTCCATTTTGAGGCATTTCCATCCAATTTCCTGGTGTTGCCATGTCTTCTTGTTTCCATAATTTTGCGTATGGTGGTTGTTGGCGTGGTCCATATTATTTGAGAACACAGAAATGCTGGACCACTCTCACAACCACCATGTCAGGCTACACAGAGAAGCCATTGAAATCCACAAGCATGTGGAAAATTTCAACAGAAAGGAGGAGACCATGAAAATGAACAAAATCTGGCTACCAGTATTAAAAAACACTCTAAAATTACAACAGCAAAACAACAGAGAGGAAACAACCAGGCACATCTTAACACCTCTCAACAAAAGATTCCCCCAGGCTCAGCCAGGCCTTCAACGGTTCTGGCCCAGCCTACCTATCCGAACGCATCTCTTCCTACGAACCCTCCAGGAAGTTAAGATCATCTGAGGAGGCCCTGCTCTCGATCCCGTCTGCTTCGCAAGCACGCTTGGCGGGGACGAGAGACAGGGCTTTCTCTGTGGTGGTCCCTCGGCTGTGGAACTCCCTGCCTAGGGATATTAGATCAGCCCCCTCCCTCTTGACCTTTCGTAAGAGAGGCATTCGGAACCCCGGAATATAGTCAAGCTTGAGATAGAGAATGACGCAGGAACGGCCAAGACGATGAAATGGACGAGGATTGGAATGAGAGGATATAGCTCTTTTTAAATTGTTATTGCACTGTCTTTTTTGTCTAATTGCACTTAATTGTTTTTGCTTTTGTATTGTATTGATGGCATCGAATTGTGCCGATATGTAGACCGCCCTGAGTCGCCTGCGGGCTGATATGGGCGGGATATAAGTGATGTAAATAAAATAAATAAATAAATTCAAATGCTAATGAAGGTGGTCAGTTGAAACATTCACACCTAGCTCCAGCAGAGAAGAGCTCTTTGCCCTTTGCCCCACCCCAGTCATTCCACAGATATATAAACCCATTTTCCTAATTCCAACAGAGCTCATTACCTCTGAGGATGCTTGCCATAGATGCAGGCAAAACGTCAGGAGAAAATGCCTCTAGAACATGGCCATACCGCCCGAAAAAACCCACAAGAACCTAGTTTCTATGTTTGTTTGTCTCACAATCCCAGGAGAAAAAGTTCTTGTTTTACTGGCAGTTTGTGCTTTAGTCTAATTTCCGTGTCTCTGTGGATTTTTATCCAGAACTCTTTGAGAGGAAGTTCCAGTTACTTGCTTCCATTCCCAACGTACGTTGGATCTTTTAAAAGCTCTTTCACAGTTTTTCAGGAGTTCTGTGCCATCTCTATATAATTTTGTTAAAATGATTTTGATGGTGTGACTCCTGGAAAGTTTTAGTCATTTCTTTCCAGAGTTCTTCCCTTTCTTCTTGACTTCTTCTGCCTTTCTTTCACAGAGGAAATGTGAGGGTTGCCTGAGCATTTTGGAGTCGAGCCTGTTGAGGGATTTCTTTCCCTTGAGAAAAGAGGGAGGAAAGGCATCTGGGATACGATTGGGTTCTTCATCAGAGTGGCTCCAACATGGAGAGACGCAACTCACCTGGACCTGAAGCAGGCAAGGCCTCCGGGAGCAGTGGGGAATCCTGGGAAAGAACTACACAGACGTTCCTGGATGAGCACACACAGCGCCAGCGCTTCAGGCATTCCTCCTTCCGAGAGGGCGAGGGACCCAGAGAGGTTTGCAGCCGCCTCCACTCTCTCTGCCGCCAGTGGCTGAAGCCAGAGCAACACACCAAGGCGGAGATGCTGGACCTGGTGATCCTGGAGCAGTTCCTGAGCATCCTGCCCCCAGAGATGGGGAGCTGGGTCCGAGAGTGTGGGGCAGAGACCTCTTCCCAGGCGGTGGCCCTGGCGGAAGGCTTCCTCCTGAGTCGGGCAGAGGACGAGAAGCAGGAAGGACAGGTGAGAGCATTGCCTCTTGGGTTTCCTCACCTTGGGACTGATGAATAGAGTAAATGTACTTCCTTCCAAGATGGGACTGACGTGAGGGAGAAACCGGACTCTGCTCCCTCAGCCTCTTCTCCCCCCTGCTCTGCCCCTCCTGATCTCACCTCCATATCCACTGTAAGCTGGGTTGCTGCTCTACCCAAATTTTTTGACCCTGGATATCACACTGGAAATGATAGGGGGGGGGGGGGTAAGCATTAGTTAGGGTGCCATCTCAGAAGTCATTCTTTTAAAAAAAATCCATGTAGTTTCCGCACATAGTTCTGTGATATTTTTGAAAATTCTCTGTACTTCTTCTGGAATACTATCTGCTCTTCCAGGCCCAAAATAACTGCATGGAAGTCCAGCCTGATGTCCCTTCATCAGAAAAGCCTCACTCGGACACCAAGCAGAGCCTCCGGCAGAAGGAGCTGAAGCAGGAAGGAGAGGAAGGAGAGGAAGGAGAGGGGGCTGCAGCCTGGCAGGGTAAGAAGGAAACCTTCTGGGAGTTTTGGTGTTTTATGCCAGTGGAAATTCCCTTTGGAGGGGATTGTAGCACATCCACAGTTTGAGCTTGAGGAGGTTTTGTCATTGTGTCTTGTTTCCAAATGCCGGCTGAGATCTTTTGGCACGGCACCCAGTGTGCCCATTACCACTGGGACCACCAGTACTGGTTTATGCCAGAGCCTTTGATGTTCGATTTTGAGGTCCTGATAACGGCTGAGTTTTTCCTGTTGTTTTTCCTCAATGCGACTATCACCTGGGATGGCGACATCGATAATTCAAACATTTTTCTTTTCCACAATCGTGCTGTTTGGTGTATTGTGTTCCAAAACTTTGTCAGTCTGGATTCGAAAGTCCCACAGTAGGTTTGCGTGTTCATTTTTCACAACCTTTGCGGGTTTATGATCCCACCATGATTCTTTACTAATGGCAGGTGGTATTTGTGACATAAGTTCCATTAAATCATTTCTGCTACAGAGTCGTGCCTTTGTTTGTAGGCCGTTTGTGTGATTTTCTTGCAACAGCTGAGGAGATGATCCATGGTTTCCTCAGCTTCCTTGCACGGTCTGCATTTTGGGTCATCCTCTGATTCTTCAATCGTGGCCTGAATGGCACTGGTTCTGATGGCTTGCTCCTGGACTGCCAGAACCAGGCCTTCTTCTGTCTCCTTCTTCAGGGTTCCATTCGTGAGCCAGAACCAGGTCTTCTCCTTATCAACTTTTCCTTCAATTTTGTCAAGGAACTGCCCATGCAATGCTTATTATTATTATTGTTTTGCTATGCATTTTTCGGGCTGTATGGCCATATTCCAGAAGCATTCTCTCCTGATGTTTCACCCACATCTATGCCAGGCATCTTCAGACGTTGAGGGGTCTGTTGAAAACTAAGTAAGTGAGGTTTATATATCTGTGGATTGTCCTGGGTGGGCTTGTACAAATGCTACGCTCAGCAAAGGACCAGAAGGGTCCTCTCACCTCTGCAGCAGTCTACCGTATACCATGCAGCTGTGAACAAGGCTACAGAGGGACCACCAAACACTGCAGCAGCATTGCCCAGACATGAATTAAGGCAAAGAAAAGGCACTGCAGACTGATTCAACCAGAGAAGTCAGCCATATTTGTGAACCCAGAAATGCTGGACCACTCTCACAATCACCCAAACCGAAGATGAGCCTTGAAACTGAGCTGGAAGACAAACTGGCAACAAGCAGTAACTTCCTCATAGGTTTCTTTTTCGGTCTGTAATGGTCACCTCTGAGGCATGTTTATGTGATCAGCTTTCCACACTTTACTCTCTCTCTCTCTCTCTCTCTCTCTCTCTCCCAGGGGCTGGAATGAGGTTGTTGCCGAATCCTCAGTCATTTTGTGATGAAGTGGAAGTGAATCAGGTAAGCAGAAGGTTTCCTGGGAGAGGAGGAAGGGAGCTGCCTGGGGGCCATTTCTTCCAGGCTTCATCCTCAAGCATCTCTTGAAACAGAAAAGATAGAATGGGAGTTTCTTAAAAGCAAGATACTGAAGGCACAATTGCAAATAGTGGCAACAAGGAGGAAAAAATATAAAAGAAATGCAAAGAAACCAGAATGGATGTCCAAAGAAGTGAGCTAAGATTTAAAAGGAACATCTACAAGAAATGGAAAAGGGGGGAAATCACCAAGGATTTCAGACAACTAACCAGACAAGGCAGAACAGAACCTGAGATCAGGTTTGCCAGAGATATTAAAAACAATAAAAAGCGGGTTCTTTGGTTGTGTCAGTAGAAGGAAAAATGAAGAAGTGACAGGGTCTGTGCCTGGAGAAGGTGGTGAGATGCAAACAGGGGATGGGGAAGAGGGAGAACATGGCCTCAGTCCTCTCCCAAAAGGGAATCAGTATTCTGCTTGAGCAAGATGGAGCAGATGGCGTAATAGGGGAAATGCAACCCAAAATAGGTAAAGAAGCAGTCCAGGAATAGCTGGGCACTCTCAATGAATGCAGGTCTCCAGGGCCACAGGAATGACACCCAAGAGTCCTGAAGGAACTCGCAGAAGAAATTTCAGAACCACTGGCAATAATCTTTGAGAACTCCTGGAGAACGGGAGAAGTCTGACCAGAGTGGAGGAGGCAAAGAGTGTCTCTGTCTTCCAGAATGGATAAGGGGTGCTCACCAGCGGTTCCTCTTCATCCTGGAAAGAAGGGAGGAGTGCTGCAGGGCTCTTTTGGGGGTTCTGTCCTGGGCCCAGTGCTGTTCCACACCTTTCTTATTGAACCTTGGATGGAGGTTCAGAGGGCATGCTCATCATGTTTGCAGATGAGACCAAATGAGAAGGGATAGATAATACTCCAGAAGACAGGATCAGAATTCAAAATGGCCTTAACGTATTAGAGAGCTTGTTGAACACTAAAAATTAATTTCAACAAAGAGAAATGTAGGAAATACGCAATGCAAAGATACAAGATGGGTAACATCTGGTTCGACAACAGTCTATGTGAAAGGAATCTTGGAGTGTTAGTAGACCACAAGTTGGACATGAGCCAGCAGTGAGATGCACAGGTATACAAGTCTCAGATGAGAAGGATTTCTCTTTCTTTTCCCTCCAGGGCCCAATTGCCTTTGAGGAGGTGGCTGTCCCTTTCCCCCCGGAGGAGTGGGTTCTCCTGGATCCTGAACAGAAAGCCTTGCACATGCAGATCATGGAGGAGATTCATGGGATGGTGGACTCTCTTGGTAAGGCCCCCTCATTCCTGGGGATTTCTGTTTCAAAATGCAGCATCCCAGTCAGCAGCTCTCTGGTGGGAGCAGGATCCTCCATCATCCCAATCTCTGAGAGTTCTCAAGGCAGGGCTTTTGTTGGAAATATAGGACAGAAGTGTCACATGGACTTGGTGCCTGAGTCACAGTGGTGTTGGCACCAATTCACACTCCAATGGGAAGACTTAAAATATTGTATAACTCTAAATATAGTAGGAACACTTACTTACTTACTTACTTACTTACTTAGGCGATCCCTCGTTGGACGAGTAAAATGGTCTTCCTTGATTACTATTTTTGTGGGTTTGTAGGTGGCTGTGGAGCCCTATTCTTGACCCGCATCTTCTCCCACAGTGAAGGCATTGGTTTCCAGGTGGAAGGCGGTCCCAGTCGGGGTTGGCTTGACGCGCCTTCCTCCTGGCACGTTTCTCTCTTTCACCCTCCACTCGTGCCTCCTCGAATTCTGCAGCACTGCTAGTCACAGCTGACCTCCAGCTGGAACGGTCAAGGGCCAGGGCTTCCCAGTTCTCAGTGTCTATGCCAGAGTTTTTAAGGTTGGCTTTGAGGCCATCTTTAAATCTCTTTTCCTGTCCACCAACGTTCCGTTTTCCGTTCTTAAGTTCAGAGTAGAGCAACTGCTTTGGGAGACGGTGGTCAGGCATCCGGACAACGTGGCCGGCCCAGCGGAGTTGATGGCAGAAGACCATCGCTTCAATGCTGGTGGTCTTTGCTTCTTCCAGCACGCTGACGTTTGTCTGCTTGTCTTCCCAAGAGATTTTCCGGATTTTCCGGAGGCAGCTCTGGTGGAATCGTAGGAACACTATATTTATTTTAATGTATAGAATATATATATATATATATATATATATATATATATATATATATATATTTATACATTAAAATAAATATAGTGTTCCTACTTTGCGGATTTGCACTTTTTGCGGGTGATCCTGGAACATAACACCAGCGATAAGTGAGGGAACACTATATCCAACTCTATGCCACTATGTCACTACTATATCTAATCTTTCTCTAAATGACATATCTATCTATCTATCCATCCCTGACTGTACTATCTATATTATTTCACTTCCTATTAACTCCGACGTGACGTGGATCCTGGAGCTCTTTTTCAATTCTTTATTATTACATAACGATAATAAAGCTATACTAGGACTTCTTCTTGTGCTCTTTCTGCCCCTCTGCTGCCTTCCAATATTAAACTCCAACTGATTTCCTAACTGTCAAAACTGTCATTCAAAAGCAGGCTTGAGCTCTTCTCCCCCCCCCCCCCCCCTTACCCTTAAAGGCACAGGGAGCATATTATGAATTCTGCCTCTGGAGGTGGAATAGTGTGTGTGTGTGTGAGAGAGAGAGAGAGAGAGAGAGAAAGAGAGAGAGAAAAAGAGAGGCTGGGAGAGCGAGGAAGCAGATTGGCTGGAGAGAGGGCCAGAGAATGGATCCTCAAAAAGAACAAACTTCCCTGGCTTCAGATACGCAGAGGCGGCTATACATCTTTTTACTGATGTGGTATTCAGCTGAGTTTTTCCTCCCAACCAGGCAGGCTGGCCTTTGCATGTCTGACGGCTAAGCTCGCTTTCTGCGTTGCCTCTCCCAGCACACAAACAGCCCACGACCTCAGTCATCCGTATTATGGCGACTTGTAAAATCATGCAATCTATGTTCTGTAATTGGGAATGATGGGGGCTCAGGGTGGTTTGTGCCCTGGGAGAGGCATCTAGCAGTAATCCCACTCTAGGCCCCTCTCTCAGCCCCTCTATCTCTGGCTGAGTCCTGCAGACTTTCCTTTTTTTCTCCCTTCTCGGCCTTCATGGTTGTTTTCCTCTTTTTCTCCACACTCACTATCTTGCATATTCCCAACTTTGTCAGGCAAGTCTATCCCTTTGGAACTCACATTTGCAGCAAACTTCCAAAAACTGCCAGAGTCCCATTCAGTAGTTGATGGTCAAAGAAGAACCATCTCTGCAGCCCTCCAGAATTCGGTCTGGGACCTTCTACGTTGGAGGAGAAAAATCCATCCTTATCTGAAGATGGGAAGAGAGAACTGGAGGTTGGGGAGAGAAATAAAAAGGAGGGAAGAAGGGAAAGTTTTAAGCGAGAGAAAAAACAAAGCCTTTGGATGTGAAGGGAAAGGGCATCCATTCCCCCCGAGAGAAGGAGACAGATTACAAACCTGGACTGGGCTGAGCAACAGGGAGCCTCTGGAGCATGTGTCACTCATCTCTCTCTTCGAGGCTCCAGGCAGTCACACAGGGTCCATCTTGACTGAACAAGGGGTGGGGAAACGATAACAGTTCTATCTTTTCCACCTCCATGTCTAGGCTGTTTTAGGAATCCTTACAATTCACTCCTTATCCCACTTCCTCAGAGTCCTCATCACTCACGCTGAGGAATGATTGTTTCTGCCCTTCTTCTTCCCAGCAGATAACTGGAAGAAGAGCCATGTGTGCACCAAACACAGGACGCATTTGGGACACAATGGGGACTTTCCTAGACACCAGCAAACTCACAGTGAAAGTGGAGATTCTGCCAGAGAAAGGCCCTACAAATGCAATGTATGTGGAGAATGTTTTACGCAAAATATGGGACTTATACTTCACAAGACAGTCATTGCTGGGATAAGCCATTGTAAATGGAAAATATCAGCAAAATGTATTGCTGATTACAAATTTCCACATCGGAGCCAAGAAGAAATCTTTCAAGGAACTGACGATATCATAAGCCAGGAATGTGGGACATCTTTTACGCGGAGTCCAGCCTTGGTGAAACATGAGCAATTTAACACAGGACAGGAACCATATAGATACCAGAAAAATGGAAAGTGTTTTGCATCCAGTTCACAATTGATGAGGCACAGAAAGCTTCACACAGGAAAGAAAGGGTACAAGTGCCAGAAGTGTGGGAAATGTTTTACTCAGATCACACAACTTATAGACCACTGGAGATCCCACACAGGAGAAAAACCATACCAATGCCAGGAGTGTGGGAAATGTTTTGCTAACCGTTCAACCTTGATGAGCCACAAAAGACTCCACACAGGAGAGAAACCATACCAATGCCAGGAGTGTGGGAAATGTTTTGCTCAAAGTTCAAACTTGGTGAGCCACAAAATACTCCACACAGGAGAGAAGCCATACCAATGCCAGGAGTGTGGGAAATGTTTAGCTTGCAGTTCACATTTGGTGAGGCACAAAAGAGTCCACAGAGGACAGAAGCCTTAGAAATGCCAGGAGTGTGAGAAATGTTTTACTTTCTCCACACCCACAGAAAACTACAGAAAGGATAGAAAGCTTAAAAGATCCAGAAGTATGGGAAATCTTTTATTTAAACATCCTCCAATAACAAGCACTAGAGAATATACACAGGTTAAAAAACATACAAACGCCAGGCATGTGGGAAATGTTTTAGTTGAGGTTCTTAACTTTTGAACTGTCACAGTCTACATTCAGGAGAGACATCATCCAAAGAGCTGGGACAAAATTAATAAAATGTTTTGCAACAGGGAAATGGCAGATGAAATGGCTTCCAGTAACACTTGGCTTGACTTTGGACTCATTTCTTTGACCATTTTCTTCTTAGTGTCATGCTACCCGTGCTCTTGTCTTCCTTGGTCAGACCACACCTGGAATCACACAAACACACTCTCTCTTTCTTTTCTCTCTTTCCCACTTTTTCTATATTTTCTTAATTGCTTTTAAATGTTTTAATGGAAAACTTTCAATAAAGATTTTTTTTTAAAGTTGGGGAGCAATGAGCAATGGTTTGACAGGGAGAGAATAGATCTAAGTAACCGTCTTAGAAATACAGATTTTTTGCTTCCTTAGTTGAAGCCCCCGTTGCTGTCGTGGGTCCAACCCTTGTGCCTTCCACAAAATAGCCCACTTATACCGAAAATAGAAAATAAGTGAATGCAGCGAATCATTGTAGAAACCTGTTACACTGTTCAAATTCACAGTAATCACAGACAATATTATATGGATTCTATACAATCCCTCTGAGATGGGATCAGCGCTGTGTCCTCTTCTGCCGAGTGGAACGGGACCGGTTTGGGCCTCACTCCAGGCCTTCCTCTGGCGGTCAAGTTCTAAACGTGACACTTGTTCTCCTTCGAGAGACAGGTTTTTATACTTAGTGGGATGGGAGATTTATTATTTACTAGCCGTCCCCTGCCACATGTTGCTGTGGCCCAGTCTGTGTATATGTGTTTTGTGTGTATATATTTGTGTATATGTGTGTTTGCGTATATATTTGTGGTTTTGCACATGTGCTGTAATGTGTTTTTGTTTGTTTGTTTGTTTTGCTTTTTGGCTTTTTAGGTCTCTTCTGTTGTGTTTTTCCATGTTTTTATGAGTGATGGTCACTTGTTGGCCTGATAGGTGTCTTGTGTCAAAATTTGTCCAGTAGTTTTTGAGTTGTGTTAATCCCACAAACGAACATGACGTTTTTATTTATCTAGATTTGTTATTTCCAGTATTTCTATCCCGTTCCTTCTCAACCCCCGAAGGGAGACTCGGGACGACTTACATTTGGCAGCATTTCAATGCCATTCCATATAACAGAGCAATATAATAACAATCAAAACAATAAGTAAAACATTCATTAAAACAGTCAAAAACAGTATTAACAGCTGTATCACCTTCCAGTCAATTCCATATCTAATTCCATGTCCAATGTGCTATCTATGCGTGTTAGAGGTCATCTTGGCTTAGCAGATTTGGTCACACAGTCAGTAGGTTTTGCCCCCCACAAGTTAATAAATTTTGGGGCAAACGTATGCTCAATTGTATCTCAAAGAGCTCTCAACATTGTTGCACAAAATGATCTCATGATCACAGCGCAAGCTAGAGCCACTCCATACCTGGCCAAATGTAAATGTAACTTGGGTAAATGTAACTTGGGCATGGGACCTTACCTCTCTTTTATGCTTCCACTATATATTAGGAAACCTTTTCCCCAGGCTAGATTGGAGCAGCTCGACATTAAGTCAAAGTGGGGAGGACCCCAGAATATTATTCCCTCCACGAGGAGAACCTGTGGGTGTCGTGAGGGAGGCGCAGAAGTGGAGGACTCCGAACCTTTCTTTCTTAAAGTGTCCCTACTCCAACAGGATCCGGTCTTACTACCTAGAGCAGCGTTTCTCAACTTGTGGGTCTGGACCCCTTGGGGGGGTGTCAGAGGGGTCTCCAAAGACCATCAGTATTTTCTGTAGGTTATTGGGGTTCTATGTGGGAAGTTTGGTCCAATTGGTGGGGTTAAAAATGCTCTTTGATTGTAGGCCAACTATAAATCCCAGCAACTACAACTCCCAAACGTCAAGGTCTATTGTTTCCAAACTCCACCACTGTTCACATTTGGGCAAATTGAGTATCTGTGCCAAGTTTGGTCCAGATCCATTATTGTTTGAGTCCACAGTGCTCTCTGGGTGTAGGTGAACTACATCTCCAAAACTCAAGGTCAATGCCCATGAACCACTTCCAGTATTTTCTGTTGGTTGTGGGAATCCTGTGTGTCAAGATGGGTTCAGTTCCATCATTGGTGGAGTTCAGAAAGCTCTTTGATTGAAGGTAAACTATAAATCCCAGCAACTACAACTCCCAAATGACAACTACAACTCCCTCCTCAAACCCCTACCAGTATTCAAATTTGAGCGTATTGGGTATTTGTGCCAAATTTGGTCCTGTGAATGAAGACACATCCTGCGTATCAGATATTTACACGATGATTCATAACGGTAGCAAAATGACAGTGCTGAAGTAGCAACGAAAATACTGTTACGGTTGGAGGTCACCGCCACATGGGGAAATGGATGAAGGGGTCACGGCATGAGGAAGGTGGAGAACCACTGACCTAGAGCCTCTGCTGGGGAACCAGACTTGTGTAGAGAATAAGGAGAAATGGCACACCCTCCTTCAGGGTTCAGGGCAAAACTCTATTTTACCATTATGGACCCTTTGGACGCAGAAAGCGCTGGCCATCCGCGAGAAGATGGAAGCCGAGAGAGGGGACCTTGCTGCCCTCAACATCCTCCACACTTCCAAACTTCATCCGGGCATGCCACGAGTTTGACCTCCCCCGCCCCAACCCGACTTGAAGGAATTCATCAATGTTTAATCTTTTAACCTTGTCATTGCACAATCATTTAGGAGTGGGTCGACAGGGCAGTGGGCCTTGTATTCCTATATGGTGTTACTGTATGTATGGGCACGTGTGTATGTGCAGCACCAACCGAGATCCGGGGAGGCGGAGTTGCAATAGTCTATAAAGATTCCATCTCCTTGATCAGGTGCCCGGCCTTGCAGTCGACCCTGTTTGAATGTGTCCACCTGAGGTTAGGAGACCGGGACAGAATAGGGCTGTTGTTGGTGTACCGACCACCCCGCTGCACCACGGCCACCCTACCTGAGCTTGCAGAGTTGGTCTCGGGCCTGGCATTGGAGTCTCGGCGGCTTGTAGTGCTGGAGGACTTCAATGTCCATGCAGAGTCCACTCTTTCAGGAGCGGCTCAGGACTTCATGGCCGCCATGGCAACTATGGGGCTGTCCCAGCTAGTATCTGGCCCTACCCACTGTGCTGGACACACACTTGACTTGGTCTTCTGTCAGGGTTGGGAAGAAGGTGGTGGCGTGGAGGAGTTTTCAATCTCTCCTTTGCCATGGACTGACCACCACCTAATCAGGTTTAGACTGGCTGCAACTTCTAACCGCAGGGGTGGTGGACCCATTAAGATGGTCCGCCCCAGGAGGCTTATGGATCCAGAAGGATTCCTGACGGCTCTTGGGGATGTTCCCGCTGCCTTGGATGGTGATTCTGTCGATGCCCTGGTCGCTCACTGGAATAGTGAGTTGACTAGGGCAATAGACATGATTGCTCCGGAGCGCCCCCTCTTAAATTGCCGGGCTAAACCATCTCCTTGGTTTAACGAGGAGTTGGTGGAGTTAAAGCGAATAAAGAGGTGGCTAGAGAGCGTGTGGCGGAAAGAGCCCAGCGAGCCAAATTGAACACGCCTGCGCCTTTATCTAAGGGCGTACGGCGCAGCAATAGAGGCCGCGCAAAATGCTTTCTATTCAGTCAATATTGCGTCCGCAAGGAACCGTCCGGCAGAGCTGTTTCGAGTAGTCAGAGAGTTGTTGAACCCCACCTCGAGTGGGTCCCCTGACGACTCGGCAGTGCGCTGTGAAGCCTTTGCTCAGTACTTTGCGGACAAAGTCGCTTTGATCCGTTCGGGCTTTGACACCACATTAACGGCAGTCTCTGAGGATGTAACTCAAGCATCTGCTTGTCCAGTTTTGTTGGATTCGTTTCGATCTGTTCAACTCGATGAGGTCATCAGGGTTCTTGGGGAGGTGAGGCCTACCACATGCATCCTAGACCCCTGCCCTTCCTGGCTGGTAAAAGAAGCCAGAGGGGGTTTGGCAGAGTGGGTAAAGGTGGTGGTTAATGCCTCCCTTCGGGAAGGCAAGATTCCAGCCAGCTTAAAACAAGCTGTCATCAAACCGCTGTTGAAAAAAACATCACTAGACCCCACTCAATTCGTCAACTTTCGGCCAGTTTCCAATCTCCCCTACTTGGGCAAAGTCCTGGAACGTGTGGTGGCCTCGCAACTCCAGGAATTCCTGGTGGACACGGACTATCTAGATCCGGCACAGTCTGGCTTTAGGCCGGGACATGGTACTGAGACAGCCTTGGTCGCCTTAGTGGATGATCTTTGCCGGGAACTGGACAGGGGGAGTGTGTCCCTGTTGGTTCTGTTGGACCTCTCTTTGGCCTTCGATACCGTCGACCACGGTATCCTTCTGGGACGCCTCGCAGGAATGGGTCTTGGGGGTACTGCTTTGCAGTGGATCCGGTCCTTCCTCGAGGGTCGCTCCCAGAAGGTGTCACTAGGGGACTCCTGCTAGACTCCTCGGCCATTGTACTGTGGAGTCCCGCAGGGTTCAGTACTGTCCCCTATGTTGTTTAACATATACATGAAGCTGTTGGGAGAGATCATCCGGAGTTTTGGGGTGCAGTGTCATCTGTACGCAGATGATGTCCAACTCTATCACTCCTTTCCATCTGCTACTAAGGAGGCTGTCCAGGTCCTGAACCGGTCCTGAACCGGTGCTTGGCTGCTGTAACGGACTGGATGAGGGACAACAGATTGAAACTAAATCCAGACAAGACAGAGGTACTCCTGGTCAGTCGTAAGGCTGAACAGGGTACGGGGTTACAGCCTGTGCTGGACGGGGTCACACTCCCCCTAAAGGCGCAGGTTCGCAGTCTGGGAGTTCTCCTGGACTCATTGCTGAGCCTGGAGCCCCAGGTCTCAGTGGTGGTCAGTGGAGCGTTTGCACAATTAAAACTTGTGCGCCAGCTGCGCCCGTACCTTGGGAAGTCTGACTTGGCCACGGTGGTCCACGCTTTGGTTACATCCCGCTTAGATTACTGCAATGCTCTCTACGTGGGGTTGCCTCTGAAGACTGCCCAGAAGCTGCAGCAAGTCCAACGCTCGGCAGCCAGATTACTAACGGGTGCTGGGTACAGGGAGCACACCACTCCGCTGTTACACCAGCTCCACTGGCTGCCAATTAGCTTCCGAGCACTATTCAAAGTGTTAACCTATAAAGCCCTAAACGACTCCGGCCCTGTTTACCTCTCCGAACGTATTCTCCCCTACGTACCATCAAGATTACTAAGATCGTCTGGAGAGGCCCTGCTCTCGGTCCCACCAGCCTCACAAGTGCGCCTGGTGGGGACGAGGGACAGGGCCTTCTCGGTGGTGGCTCCGCGACTCTGGAACTCTCTCCCACCGGAGATCAGAACTGCCCCGTCTATCCTGACATTCAGGAACAGGTGAAGACGTGGTTGTGGAGACAGGCTTTCGATGAATGAGATAGCACCCTAGGATTGTGGATGGAAGATGAGGTATACTTGTTTTAATATGACAACTGACCACCGTAGTTTTAAATATAGTTGTTATTTTAAATGAGTTATTGTAATTATGAACTATGATATTTTACTGATTGTATGTTTTTATGGTTGTAAACCGGGCTGAATTCTTTCCATCCACTCCTTATCCCACTTCCTCAGAGTCCTCATCACTCACGCTGAGGAATGATTGTTTCTGCCCTTCTTCTTCCCAGCAGATAACTGGAAGAAGAGCAATGTGTGCACCAAACACAGGACGCATTTGGGACACAGGAGGGACCTTCCTGGACACCAGCAAACTCACAGTGAAAATGGAGATTCTGCCAGAGAAAGGCCCTACAAATGCAATGTATGTGAACAATGTTTTACGCAAAAGATGGGACTTATACTTCACAAGAGACTCAGTGCTGGGAAAAGCCATTGTAAATGGAGAATATCTGCAAAATGTATTGCTGATTACAAATCGCCACATCAGAGCCAAGAAGAAATTTTTCAAGGAACTGACGATATCATAACCCAGGAGTGTGGAACTCTGCATAAAAGTTCACACTTGAAACATGAGCGATTTCACACAGGACAGGAACCATATAGATGCCAGGAGTGTGGAAAGTGTTTTGCTTCCAGTTCACAACTGATGAGGCACAAAAAGCTTCACACAGGAAAGAAAGGGTACAAGTGCCAGAAGTGTGGGAAATGTTTTACTCAGAATACACAACTTATAGACCACTGGAGATGCCACACAGTAGAGATGCCATACCAATGCCAGGAGTGTGGGAAATGTTTTGGTGATCATTCAGCCTTGGTGAGCCACAAAAGACTGCACACAGGAAAGAAACCATATCAATGCCAGGAGTGTAGGAAATGTTTTGCTAAAAGATCAACCTTGGTGAGGCACAAAAGAGTCCACACAGGAGAGAAACCATACCAATGCCAGGAGTGTGGGAAATATTTTGCCGATAGTTCATCCTTGGTGAGGCACAAAATACTCCACACAGGAGAGAAGCCACACCAATGCCAAGTGTGTGGGAAATGTTTTGGTTACCATTCAGACTTGTTGAGCCACAAAAGACTCCACACAGGACAGAAGCCATACCAATGCCAGGAGTGTGGGAAATGTTTTGGTTACAGTTCACACTTGGTGAGCCACAAAAGACTCCACACAGGAGAGAAACCATACCAATGTCAGGAGTGTGGGAAATGTTTTGCTGACCGTTCATCCTTGGTGAGCCACAAAAGAGTCCACACAGGAGAGAAACCATACCAATGCCAGGTGTGTGGGAAATGTTTTGCTCAGAGTTCAGCCTTGGTGAGCCACAAAAGACTCCACACAGGAGAGAAGCCATACCAATGCCAGGAGTGTGGGAAAAGTTTTGGTTACAGTTCACACTTGATGAGCCACAAAAGACTCCACACAGGAGAGAAGCCTTAGAAATGCCAGGAGTGTAAGAATTGTTTTGCTTTCCCCACACCCACAAAACACTACACAAAGGATAGAAAGGCTAAAAGATCCAGAAGTATGGGAAATGTTTTATTTAGACATCTTCCCATAACAAGCACTAGAGAAGATACACAGGCTAAAAAACATACAAATGCTAAGACATGTGGGTAATGTTTTAGTTGAGGTTCTTAACTTTTGAACTGTCACGGACTACATTCAGGAGAGACATCATCCAAAGAGCTGGGACAATTTTTTTAAAAAACGTTGGGGAGCAATGAGCAATGGTTTGACAGGGAGAGAATATATCTAACTAACCATCCTAGAGAGACAGATTTTTTGTCTTCCATCACTACATCTCTGCCGTCATCTTTACTCGAAGCCCCCGTTGGTGTCGTGGGTCCAACCCTTGTGCCTTCCACAAAATAGCCCACTTTTACTGAAAATAGAAAATAACTGAAGTCAGCGAATAATTTTAGAAACCCGTTATTATTATTATTATTTATTATTATTAACTTTATTTATACCCCGCAAAATCTCCCGAAGGACTCGATGCGGCTTACAAAGGCCAAGGCCGCCAACAAACAACAGTATACAAATACAACATTAAAACTCATAAGCAAATAGTAAAACATCAAACAAAACAATAAACAGTAAAAACAAATGTAATGGACACATTTAAAAGTGCTGGTCTTGACAGGTGACATATGGAGGTTTTCTTGCAGGTAGGTGCAATGTGCAGACAATCCTGAGTCTCTAACAAAGTGCATTGGGACATGATGCCAGGGAGTTTCCTAGTCTGGAAAGGCACATTGGAACAGCCAGGTCATCAGCCTCTTCCTAAAGATTGTCAACGTTGGGGCTACTCTGATGTCCTTGGGGAAAGAGTTCCAGAGTCGGGGGGCCACCACAGAGAAGGCCCTGTCCCTCGTCAAATTCACAGTAATCACAAACAATATTATATGGATTCTGTAAAATCACTCTGAAATGGGATCAACGCCGTGTCTTCTTCTGCCGAGTGGAACAGGACTGGTTTGGGCCTCACTCCAGGCCTTCCTCTGGCGGTCAAGTTCTAAATGTGCCACTTGTTCGCCTTGTTAGCGAGACAGGTTTTTATACTTAGTGGGATGAGAGATTTATTATTTACTAGCCATCCCCCGCCACACGTTGCTGTGGCCCAGTCTGTGTATATGTGTTTTGTGTGTGCATATATTTGTGTATGTGTGTGTTTACATATATATATATATATGGTTTTGCACATGTGCTGTAATGTTTTTGTTTGTTTTTTTTTGCTGTGTTTTTCCACGTTTTTATGAGTGATGGTCACTCGTTGGCCTGATAGGTTTATTGTGTCCAAATTTGGTGCCAATTTGTCCAGTGGTTTTTGAGTTGTGTTAATCCCACAAAGGAACATTACATTTTTATTTATCTAGATTTATTATTTCCAGTATTTCTATCCCATTCCTTCTCAACCCCCGAAGGGGGACTCGGGACGACTTACATTTGGCAGCAATTCGATGCCATTACATATAACGTAGCAATATAATAACATAGCAATATAAAAACGTCAGGAGAAAATGCCTCTAGAACAAGGCCATATAGCCCGATAAAACCCACAAGAACCTAATATAATAACTATTAAAACAATAAGTAAAACATTAATTAAAACAGTCAAAAATGGTATTGACAGCTGTATCACCCTGCCAGTCAATTCCATACCTAATTCCATATCCAATGTGCTATCTATGCCTGTTGTCCTAAAGCCTGGTCCCAGAACCACGACTTCAATTTCTTCCTAAATGATAGGAGGGACGGAGCCAATCTTACCTCAGTGGGAAGCGAGTTCCACAGGCGGGGGCCACAGACAAGAAGGCCCTGTCTCTCGTCCCAGCCAGATGTATTTGCGACGCAGGTGGGAGTGAGAGCAGGGCCTCCCCGGATTATCTTAAATTGCGAGGTGGGACTTAGAGAGAGATGTTGTTGTTGTTCATTGGTTCAGTCGTTTCCGACTCTTCGTGACCTCATGGACCAGCCCACGCCAGAGCTCCTTGCCGGCCGTCACCACCCCCAGCTCCTTCAGGGTCAATCCAGTCACTTCAAGGATACCATCCATCCATCTTGCCCTTGGTCGGCCCCTCTTCCTTTTTCCTTCCATTTTCCCCAGCATAATTGTCTTCTCTAAGCTTTCCTGTCTTCTCCTGATGTGGCCAAAGTACTTCATCTTGGCTTCTACTCTCCTTCCCTCCAACGAACAGTCGGGCTTTATTTCCTGAAGTATGGGCTGGTTGGATCTTCTCGCGATCAAGGCACTCTCTGGACTTTCCTCCAACAGCACAGCTCAAAAGCATCTCTCTTCCTTTGCTCAGTCTTCCTTATGGTCCAGCTCTCACATCCGTAGGTGACTATGGGGAATACCATTGCTTTAACTGTGGATTTTCGTTGCCAGTGTGATTTCTCTACTCTTCACTATTTTATTGATATTGGTCCTCCCAAGAAGTAAGCGTCGCCTGATTTCCTGGCCACAGTCTGCGTCTGCAGTCATATTTGTGCCTAGAAATACTAAGTCTGTCACGGCCTCCATGTTTTCTCCCTCTATTTGCCAGTTGTCAATCATTCTTGTTGTCATAATCTTGGGTTTTTTTATGTTTAGCTGCAACTCAGCTTTTGCCCTTTCTCCTTTACCTTGATTAGAAGGCTCCTCAGCTCCCACTCGCTTTCGGCCATCAAAGTGGTGTCATCTGCATATCTATGGTTGTCAATGCTTCTTCCAGCAATTTTCATCCCAGCCTTGCATTCCTCAAGCCCCGCACGTCGCATGATGTGTTCTGCATACAAGTTGAATAGGTTGGGTGAGAGGAGACAACCCTGCCGCACGCCTTTCCCAATCTTGAACAAGTCTGTTGTTCCGTGGTCAGTTCTGACTTTTGGTCCTTATACAGATTCCTCGGGAGAAAGACAAGGTGAGAGAGATGCACTCGGACAAGTAAGCTGGGCCAGATCCTCTGCGGTGGGTTTGATTCTAATCTCTTGTGCCGCCAGGACTGCTGACTGAAAGGTCTGTGGTTCGATTCTGGGGAGCAGGGTTGTCACCACAATTGGAAAGCAGCTCCTGGCAGTGAGACCTAGGAGGTGCTACTGGCAGAAACCGAGGCAAGAGTGATCAGCCCTGGCGTGATTTCAGCCGTCTTGCCTGAGCTGCCCTTCGAGGGAACCCACTTGGTGAGCCTGGAGCCCAAAATAAAATCAGCTCACAAGCAGGAGAGAAGGAGTGATCAGCCAACGAGGATTTTTATCCATATGAATAAGATGCCACTCTGTGATATATCACAATGTGTGCTGACACGCACTGGGCCTATAGCCATTGTCTTTTAAAACAGGACGTGCTCTTTGTGCCCAGCGGGACGCCGGGGTGCCTCGGCTGAGAGGCCCTATGGATTTTCCTAAACAAAGTCTTTAGAAACTTGGAAAGTTTAACAAAGTTCTTTATTATTGCTTAGATCAGGGGTCCCCAAACTAAGGCCCGCGGGCCACATACGGCCCACCGAGGGCATTTATCCGGCCCGCGTGGCCTGCCCTGGCCTGGCGCAAAGCCCCCCACCGCTTGCGTTTCTCTCTCTCTCCCTTTAGGCGGGGTCGCGCCGGGGCAGGCTTCTCCCTCCTTCCTTCCTTCCCCTTCCCCCTTTCTGTCCCCTTCCCCTTCCTTCTCCCATCCCCTCCGTCCTTCCCTCCCTTTCCTCCCCCCTTCCTTCCCTTCTTCCTTCCTTCGAAGCCTCCCGGGTGGGGCCTTCGGGCCAGGAAAGCCGGCTTTGCCTGGCCATGCCCACCTGGCGCTGCCTCCGCTAATGGCAGACACCCTCCTTGCCATCAGAATGGGGAGCTGCTCAAAGGAGGGCTCTACGTGGCGGGAAGGAAAAGGTGCCAAAGCAGAGCGCGTGGGGGGGGGGGGGGGAAGAGAGACACAGACACACACAGAAGAAAGGGTGAAAAGGAAGCCGTCCTGCAAATGTGATGGAGTGAGAAGCCGGTGGGAGAGTCCAGTTTGCCTTCCCCTCGCCCTGTTCCTCCCATCCCTGTTTTTCCATCCCTTCCCTCCTCTCCCCTTACCTGCCTCGCACTGCCCCTCGTGCGAGCCAGATGCTGCCCCTTTTAAACTTTAAAATGAAATTTTATTTAACGCGTTGCTGTGGCCCACATAGGGATTCTGTGTTGGAGGTTTGGCCCAATTCTATCATTGGTGGGGTTCAGAATGCTCTGTGATTGTAGGTGAACTATAAATCCCAGCAACTACAACTCCCAAATGTCAAGATTCTATTTCCCCAAACTCCACCAGTGTTCACATTTGGGCATATTGAGTATTCATTCCAAGTTTGGTCCAGATCCATCATTGTTTGAGTCCACAGTGATCTTTGGATGTCGGTGAACTACAAATCAAAAACCAAAGGGCACTGCCCACCAAACCCTTCAGTATTTTCTGTTGGTCATGGGAGAACTGTGTGCCAGTTTGGTTGAATTCCATCGTTGGTGGGGTTCAGAATGCTCTTTGATTATAGGTGAACTATAAATCCCAGCAACTAGAACTCCCAAATGACAAAATCATATTTTTTGAGTGAAGGACATAAATTGGGTTGTTAGGTGCCCAGTGGATTTTGAATTCTGTTTATCCCACAAACGAACATTACATTTTTATTTATGTAGATTTATTTCCTATATTTATTTTTTTATTAATCACTTTATGTTCAGATTGTAACAAAAAATTACATCCTGCATATCAGATATTTACATTACGATTCACAACAGTAGCAAAATAAGACATGTGCAGTGTGCATAGGAATTTGGTCATTGTTTTTTTAAAAAAAACTATAGTCCGGCCCTCCAATGGTCTGGGGGACAGTAATCTGGCCCCCTGTTTAAAAAGTTTGAGGACCCCTGGCTTAGATCTTCAACAAAACACACAAATCCTTCTTAACTTGCCCACAAAGGACAGGCAGCTTGCTTCGTGAACTATTTCTTTCTTTTACAAGGAAAACCCGTCCCTGGGCAATCTGTCTTTAGGCTGGCTGGCGTGGGGCCTTACTCCCAGTTCCAATTTGCCTTTTGGGTATCCGAGTAAACCTTCCCGGCCAAAACTTTAGAGATTTTCCAGCTGGAGACCTTTGAATCTCTAAAACCGTTTTCTTCAGAAGCTTTCGGGCTGTCTTCCTCAGAGGCTTGTAGAGCTGTGAGGCTGTAAGTTCCCCAGCCAGAGCTTTGAGAACCGTCTTCCCCAGAAGCTTTGGGACTATTTTCCCCCGGAGCTTTGTAAGAAACGGAGCTTCTCTACAGGTGGGAAAAGCTCTCATGTCCTGTAACTGAGCTTCCAAACTGCAAGACTGAACTAAAAACTTCCTTTTCCCTCCCAGAACCCTGGGGAAAGGGGCGGAACTAAAGAACGATGATAGGCAGGTGGCTGGCCCTATGGCTGCAGCCTGGAAGGAACCGCCCAACTGCAAAATGCATGGCCAAAACAAACACATGCATAGAAAGGAAATTTAGGCTTCTGGTACAGCTGTACCAGCACACAAAGAAACTGGGATACAGGACAGAAAACAGTCCCCTTTTTATACCCTTGAAGGTTTTGAAATTCCCTCCACACAGGAGGCATCAGCTGGAGTGGTTCCTATTGGAGGAGGGAATCTGGCTGGAAGGAGGTGCTGGTCCTCTGTCCAGTCTGTCCATCTGCCTCTGGAGTTGTCCAACCACAGAGAGGGGGCTTGGCCAGACAGCCGGCCAGTATAGGGACAGTGGATTAAGTGGCGGATACTGGTTTTGGGCCCTTCCGCCCTGCCAAAGGAGTCATTGTGTGTGGACTGGGCATGACAGGGCCTCTTCCAAGGAGGCAGCCTAGTGGCTCCAGGCTATTGCGATCCAATCAGAGAATATAACAATATCATGTAGAATTGCAGAGGCAAGGGGGATGAGTGGAGACCAACAGTATTTCCCATGAGGTTGAGCGGTCCCACATAAAGACGATAATGCAAATGGAGGACTACCCCGGGTGGGCAGGAGATGGGCAATCAGAAGACCCATCGTCCTGCCCAGGAACTTTTATTGTGTTGCCTTTGTCTGGACGAGTCCATAGATGGAGGCGAGGCTGGGAATGGATGAAGGCAGCCCAGCACAGTATCCTCCCCATAATAGGCTATTAACCCCAAAGGAACACATAGAATCATAGAATCAAAGAGTTGGAAGAGATCTCATGGGCCATCCAGTCTAACCCCATTCTGCCAAGAAACAGGAATATTGCATTCAAATCACCCCTGACAGATGGCCATCCAGCCTCTGTTTAAAAGCTTCGAAAGAAGGAGCCTCCACCACACTCCGGGGCAGAGAGTTCCACTGCTGAATGGCTCTCACAGTCAGGAAGTTCTTCCTCGTGTTCAGATGGAATCTCCTCTCTTGTAGTTTGAAGCCATTGTTCCATTGCGTCCTAGTCTCCAGGGAAGCAGAAAACAAGCTTGCTCCCTCCTCCCTGTGGCTTCCTCTCACATATTTATACATGGCTATCATATCTCCTCTCAGCCTTCTCTTCTTCAGGCTAAACATGCCCAGCTCCTTAAGCCACTCCTCATAGGGCTAGAAATCATACAATTCCATACTGGGAAAGGGAAGCATGCAGAATGGGCTTTTAGGGAGGCTTTGGTACACGTCGCAAGGATGGGAACAGATAAGGAACGTATGATTATTCAGCAGGCAAAGAGTTCTTTTTAACAGCAGTCCTGGGAGACATAGTTTCTCAGGTTGGAAAGCATAGTCCTCAGAATCCCTGGGTTGAGTTAGGTCCCGAAAGAGGCCAGAGAGTGTGCTCTGAGACACGGAGGGTGGCAGGAAAGAAATAGAAGGAGCAGAGAGAGCTCAAACTCTCAGAGGCTTTCTAATGGGGGAACCAGCTATCTGGAAAGAGGAGAAAGGAGGAAAGAGACAGGATAGCTGGGAAAAGTACATTAGAGCAAGGAAAGGGCAAGAGAAGCACAGAGTTCAGGGTAACCAGTTTATTGAGGGATCAGAAGCAGCCTGGACTTAGTTTCCTGATTGTCTGAACATGTGCAGAGCCAAACCATTACACTTTGGGGGGCCTGTGACCTTTGGAACTCTCTGCTGCAGGCACGAAGGGAACAAATAATTTGGCCCGGGGGGGGGGTTTCATGCAAGAGGGTGAGCTCCGTCTGTCAGCTCCAGCTTCTCATGTGGGGACATGAGAGAAGCCTCCTCCCACAGGATGGTAAAACACCCGGGCATCCCCTGGGCAAGGTCCAACTGCCTCATCCCAGAAGTCCTTTGTTTGCAGGGCTTTGGAGAGAGAGAGGCTCCTTCCCCTCCTTCCAGGGTCAAGGAAGGGTGAAGGGGAGCGAGTGTGGTTCCTAGAGAGGCAGGAAGGAAGTGGGCCTCCTCCCCCAGACCCGCCTTTCCTGCCCCTCTAGGACCCCGACTCCCTCCCTTCCTCTTCCTTCCTTCCTCCTCCTCTCCTTCCTCCTCCTTCTTCCCAGACCTTCTTCCTTCTCCAAAGGGCTGAAGAGGAGCCAAAGCCCAACACACCTGGAGGGAGGGAGGGCCAAAGGGGGCCCAGGCCTGGCCTCCCCTGGGGTTGGTTGGGGGTCCCCACATTCTCCAACTGGGGATCACAAGGTGTGCAACCACTTCTATTCCCATTGAAGAGTGCTGAGAGACCAATTATTTGAAGTCTCTAAAATCTCTTGAACATGGAGTTTATGAATAGTACAAGAGAGGCCATAGATGAGGGAGCCTCAGCTGAAGGAGTCTTGGGGGGATCCAGCCTGGGTTGGGACTCACTGGGAGCTCACTGGGAGGCAAAGTGGGTCTGGAGGCTGGAGAAGCAGAGGCCCAAGTGGAAGGAAGGAGGGCCCAGCATGGCCTGGCTCTCCAAGAAGAAACACCTCCTGAAGCCTGTTGTCTAATTGTGCCTTTCTTTCACAGAGGAAAGGGGATTTTTGCCTGAGGATTTTGGAGTCAAGCCTGTTGAGGGATTTCTTTCCCTTGAGAGAAGAGGGAGGAAACACACCTTGGGTACAGTTGGGTTCTTCATCAGAGTGGTTCCAAGATGGAGAGACCCAACTCACCTGGACCTGAAGCAGGCAAGGTCTCCCGGAGCAGTGGGGAATCCTGGGAAAGAACTACAGAGACGTTCCTGGATGCGCACACACAGCACCAGCGCTTCAGGCATTCCTCCTTCCGAGAGGGCGAGGGACCCAGAGAGGTTTGCAGCCGCCTCCACTCTCTCTGCCGCCAGTGGCTGAAGCCAGAGCAACACACCAAGGCGGAGATGCTGGACCTGGTGATCCTGGAGCAGTTCCTGAGCATCCTGCCCCCAGAGATGGGGAGCTGGGTCCGAGAGTGTGGGGCAGAGACCTCTTCCCAGGCAGTGGCCCTGGCGGAAGGCTTCCTCCTGAGTCAGGCAGAGGACGAGAAGCAGGAAGGACAGGTGAGAGCATTGCCTCTTGGCTTCACTCACCTTGGGACTGATGGAGAGATAAAACCTGCATATCATAGAATCATAGAGTTGGAAGAGACCTGGTGGGCCATCCAGTCCGACCCCATTCTGCCAAGAAGCAGGAATCTTGCTTTTAAAGCACCCTCGACAGATAGCCATCTAGCTTCTGTTTAAAAGCCTTCAAAGAAGGAGCCTCCACCACACTCCGGGGCAGAGAGTTCCACTGCTGAACAGTTCTCCCAGTCAGGAAGTTCTTCCTCATATTCAGGTGAAATCTCCTTTCGTGTAGTTTGAAGCCATTGTTCCGCATCCTCGTCTCCAGGGCAGCAGAAAACAAGCCTCCTCCCTCCTCCCTGTGACTTCCCCTCACATATTGATACACGGCCCTGATAATCTCTCCCCTCAGCCTTCTCTTCTGCAGGCTAAACATGCCCAGCTCTTCAAGGCGCTCCTCATAGGGCTTGTTCTCCAGACCCTTGATCATTTCAGTTGCCCTCTGGACATATTCCAGATTGTCAACATCTCCCTTCAATTGTGGTGGCCAGAATGGGACACAGTGTGATTCCAAGTGTGCTCTAACCAAGGCAGCATAGAGCATGGGGAGCATGACTTCCCCGGATCTAGACACTCGACTCCGATTGATGCAGGCCCAAATCCAATGGGATTTCTTTGCCGCTGCCTGACATTGTTGGCTCACGAGGACATTGTTGTCCACAAGAACTCCAGCATCTTTTCCACACGTACTGCTCTTGAGCCAGGCGTCCCCCATTCTGTTGCAAAAGGTGTGATTTCAGTGTGGTTTGCTGTTTTCTTCCTTGCAATTCAGCGTTTCATGTTTTCTGCCTAAATTTTGTATGTTTATGAGGAAGGAGTCAGACCCCGCTCCCTCTGCCTCTTTTCCCACCTGCTCCGCCCCTCCTTCTCTCACCTCCATATCCATTGTGAACTCGCTGCTCTATCCAAATGTGTTGACCTCAGATCCCACACTGAATATGATGGGAGGGGGAATATGGCATTGGGTTAGGTTGCCGTCTCAGAAGTTGTTCTTTCAAAGGAAATCCATGCAGTTTCTGCACATAGGTCTGTGATATTTTTGAAAATTCTCCGTACAACTTCTGGAATACTATCTGCTCTTCCAGGCCCAAAATAACTGCATGGAAGTCCAGCCCGATGTCCCTTCACCAGAAAAGCCTCATTCGGACACCACCCAAAGCCTCAGGCAGAAGGGGCTGAAGCAGGAAGGAGAGGAAGGAGAGGGGGCTGCAGCCTGGCAGGGTAAGAAGGAACCCTTCTGGGAGTTTTATGCCAGTGTAATCCCCTTTGAGGGGATTGTAGCACATTTGTCCTTGAGGTGGGTATATATCTTAAACTCACATCCTTTGTTTGGTATCTGTTTTATGTACTTTAATATGTATTTCATAGGAATGCAATTTTCATGTGTAGCCACACGGAGAGACAGATAACAAATAAAATTATTACTATTATTATTTGTACAAATGCTACGCTCAGCAAAGGACAAGAGCGGTCCTCTCACCTCTGCAGGAGTCTACCGTATACCATGCAGCTGTGGACAAGTCTACATAGGGACCACCAAACGCAGCAAGGCCCAACATGAATCAAGGAACATGAAAGGCACTGCAGACTGATTCAACCAGAGAAGTCAGCCATAGCTGAGCCCTTCATGAACCAACCTGGGCACAGCATATTATTTCTGAACACAGAAATGCTGGACCACTTTCACAATCACCCAAACCTAAGATGAGCCTTGAAACTGAGCCAGAAGACAAACAGGCAACAAGCAGTAACTTTAGTCCATTGAAATACCAAGCCCAGGACTCCTTTCCTTTCAACCTACTCACAGCACTCCTTGTGAGGCAAAGTCCTAAACCCTAAAATGTTACATATTCTTGGGCTGTTGAATGCTCCTGTGTTCATAGGGCCATTTCCTCATAGGTTTCTTTATAGGACTGTAATTGTAACCTCTGAGGCATGTTTATGTGTTCAGCTTTCCACCCCTTGCCCTCTCTCTCTCTTCCAGGGGCAGGAATGAGGTTGTTGCCGAATCCTCAGTCGTTTTGTGATGGAGTGGAAGTGAATCAGGTAAGCAGAAGGATTCCTGAGAGAGGAGGAAGGGAGCTGCCTGGGGGTCATTCCTTCCAGGCTTCATCCTCAAACATCTCTTGAAACAGAAAAGATTGAATGGGAGTTTCTTAAAAGTGAGATACTGAAGGCACAATTGCAAACAGTCCCAACAGGGAGGAAAAAATAAATAAGAGTAGTCTAATGAAACCAGAATGGATGTTCAATGAACTTTCAGCTGAGTTAAGATTTAAAAGGGATGTGTTTGAGAAACGGAAAAGGGGGGAAATCACCAAAGAATTCAAAGAACTAACCAGCATAAGTAAGAAAAGGTCTGACAACCTTGCCAGAGAGATTACAAAGAATAAAAAGTGGATTCTTTCATTGTGTCAGTAGAAGAAGGAAAAATGAAGAAGTGATAGGGTTTCTGCCTGGAGAAGGTGGTGAGATGCAAACAGGGGATGGGGAAGAGGGAGAACGTGGCCTCAGTCCTCTCCCAAAAGGGAATCCATATTCTGCCTGAGCATGATGGAGKAGGTGAGGTAAGAGGGGAAATGCAACCCCAAATGGGTAAAGAAGCAGTCCAGGAATAGCTGGGCACTCTCAATGAATTCTGGTCTCCAGGACCACAGGAATGACACCCAAGAGTCTTGAAGGAACTCGCGGAAGAAATTTCAGAACCACTGGCAAYAATCTTTGAGAACTCCYRGRGAACGGGAGAAGTCTGACCAGAGTGGAGGAGGCAAAGAGTGTCTCTGTCTTCCAGAATGGACAAGGGGTGCTCACCAGYGGTTCCTCTTCATCCTGGAAAGAAGGGAGGAGTGCTGCAGGGCTCTTTTGGGGGTTCTGTCCTGGGCCCAGTGCTGTTCCACACCTTTCTTATTGAACCTTGGATGAAGGTTCAGAGGGCATGCTTATCATGTTTGCTGATGAGACCAAATGAGGAGGGATAGATAATACTCCAGAAGACAGGATTAGAATTCAAAATGGCCTTAACATGTTAGAGTGGCCGTTGAAAACTAAAAATTAATTTCAACAAAAAGAAATGTAGGAAATACACAACACACAGATACAGGATGGGTAACATCTGGCTCGACAACAGTCCATGTGAAAGGGATCTTGTAGTGTTAGTAGACCACAAGTTGGAGATGAGTGAGATGCACAGGAATACAAGTCTCAGGTGAGAAGGATTTCTTTCTTTTCCCGCCAGGGCCCAAGCGCCTTTGAGGAGGTGGCTGTCCATTTTTCCCTGGAGGAGTGGGTTCTCCTGGATCCTGATCAGAAAGCCTTGCACATGCGGATCATGGAGGAGATTCATGGGATGGTGGACTCTCTTGGTAAGGCCCCCTCATTCCTGGGGATTTCTGTTTCAAAATGCAGCATCCCAGTCAGCAGCTCTCTGGTGGGAGCAGGATCCTCAATCATCCCAATCTCTGAGAGTTCTCAAGGCAGGGCTTTGGTTGGAAATATAGGACATTAGTGTCACATGGTCTTGGTGCCTGAGTCACAGTGGTGTTGGCACCAGTTCACACTCCAGTGGGAAAACTTCCATAACTGGAGTCAAGTCAGGCAAATCTATCCCTTTTCCCTTTTACACAAACTTCCAAAAATCCCAACCTTATTTGAAGATGGGAAGAGAGAACTGGACGTTAGGGAGAGAAATAAAAAGGAGGGAAGATGGGAAAGCCTTAAGCGAGAGAAAAAGCAAAGCCTCTGGATGTGAAGGGAAAAGGCATCCATTCCCCCGAAAGAAGGAGACACAATACAAACCTGGACTGGGCTGAGCAACAGGGAGCATGTGTCACTCATCTCTTTCTTCGAGGCTCCAGGCAGTCACACAGGGTCCATCTTGACTGAACAAGGAGTGGGGAAACGACAACATGCCTCCATGTCTAGGCTGTTTTAGGAATCCTTTCAATCCACTCCTTATCCCACTTCCTCAGAGTCCTCATCACTCACGCTGAGGAATGATTGTTTCTGCCCTTCTTCTTCCCAGCAGATAACTGGGAGAAGAGCAATGTGTGCACCAAACACAGGACGCATTTGGGACACCATGGGGACCTTCCTAAACACCAGCAAACTCAGAGTGAAAATGGAGATTCTGCCAGAGAAAGGCCCTACAAATGCAATGTATGTGAACAATGTTTTACGCAAAAGATGGGACTTATAATTCACAAGACAGTCATTGCTGGGAGAATCCATTGTAAATGGAAAATATCAGCAAAATGTATTGCTGATTACGAATCGCCACATTGGAGCCAAGAAGAAATCTTTCAAGGAACTGATGATATCATAAGCTGGGAGTGTGGGACATCTTTTTTGCAGAGTTCACACTTGAAACATGAGCGATTTCACACAGGACAGGAACCATATAGATGCGAGAAGTGTGGGAAATGTTTTGCTGACCGCCCAGCCTTGGTGAGCCACAAAAGACACCACACAAGAAAGAAACCATACCAATGCCAGGAGTGTGGGAAATGTTTTGCTCAAAATGCACACTTGGTGAGCCACAAAAGACTCCACACAGGAGAAAAACCATACCAATGTCGGGAGTGTGGGAAATGTTTTGCTCAGAGTTCACAATTGCTGAGCCACAAAAGACTCCACACAGGAGATAAGCCATACCAATGCCAGGAGTGTGGGATATGTTTTGCTCAAAGTTCACACTTGGTGAGGCACAAAAGACTCCACACCGGAGAGAAACCATACCAATGCCAGGTGTGTGGGAAATGTTTTGCTAACTGTTCAACCTTGGTAAACCACACAAGACTCCACACAGGAGAGAAACCATACCAATGCCAGGTGTGTGGGAAATGTTTTGCTGACCGTTCAACCTTGGTGAGCCACAAAAGACTCCACACAGGAGAGAAACCATACCAATGCCAGGTGTGTGGGAAATGTTTTGCTTACAGTTCACACTTGGCGAGGCACAAAAGACTCCACATAGGACAAAAACCTTAGAAATGCCAGGAGTGTGATAAATGTTTTGCTTTCCCCACACCCACAAAAACTACACAAAGGCTAGAAAGGCTAAAAGATCCAGAAGTATGGGAAATGTTTTATTTAGACGTCCACCCATAACAAGCACTAGAGAATATAAACAGGCTAAAAAACATACAAATGCCAAACATGTGGGAAATGTTTTAGTTGAGGTTCTTAACTTTTGAACTGTCACAGACTACATTCAGGAGAGACATCATCCAAAGAGCTGGGACAAAATTAATAAAATGTTTTGCAACAGGGAAATGGCAGACGGAATGGCTTCCAGTAACACTTGGCTTGACTTTGGACTCATTTCTTTGACCATTTTCTTCTTAGTGTCATGCTACCCGTGCTCTTGTCTTCCTTGGTCAGACCACACCTCGAATCACTCTCTCTCTTTTTTTTCCTCTCTGCCACTTTTCCTATCTTTTCTTAATTGTTTTTAAATGTTTTTATGGAAAACTTTCAATAAAGATTATTTTTTTAAAATGTTGGAGAGAATGTTTTGACAGGGAGAGAATAGATCTCACTAACCATCCTAGAAATACAGATTTTTTTCTTCCATCACTCTCTCTCTGCCGCCATCTTTAGTCGAAGCCCCCGTTGGTGTCGTGGGTCCAACCCTTGTGCCTTCCACAAAATAGCCCACTTAGACAGAAAATAGAAAATAGGTGAATTCAGCGAATCATTGTAGAAACCTGTTATACTGTTCAAATTCACAGTAATCACAACCAATATTATATGGATTCTATACAATCCCTCTGAGATGGGATCAGCGCTGTGTCTTCTTCTGCCGAGTGGAACAGGACTGGTTTGGGCCTCACTCCAGGCCTTCCTCTGGCGGTCAAGTTCTAAACGTGACATTTGTTCACCTTCTTAGAGAGACAGGTTTTTATACTTAGTGGGATGGGAGATTTGTTATTTACTAGCCGTCCCCTGCCACACGTTGCTGTGGCCCAGTCTATGTATATGTGTTTTCACTGTGTGTGTACATTTGTGTATATGTGTGTTTGTGTATATATGTGGTTTTGCGCATGTGCTGTAATGTTTTTGTTTGTTTTTTTGGCTTTTTAGGTCTCTTCTTATGTTTTTCCATGTTTTTATGAGTGATGGTCACTTGTTGGCCTGATAGGTGTCTTATGTCCAAATTTGGTGTCAATTTGTCCAGAGGTTTTTGAGATATGTTAATCCCACAAACGAACATTACATTTTTATTTATCTAGATTTATTATTTCCAGTATGTCTATCCCATTCCTTCTCAACCTCCGAAGGGGGCTCGGGATGACTTACATTTGGCAGCAACTGGATGCCATTCCATATAATAGAGCAATATAATAATAATCAAAACAATAATTAAAACAGTCAAAAACAGTATTAACAGCTGTATCACCCTTCCAGTCAATTCCATACCTAATTCCATGTCCAATGTGCTATCTATGTGTATTAGTGGTCATTTTGGCTTAGCAGATTTGGTCACACAGTCAGTAGGTTAGGTTTTGCCCCCCACGAGTTAATAAATTTGGGGGCGAACGTATGCTCAATTGTATTCTCCAGAAGTGGAGGACTCCGAACCTTTTATCTTAAACTGTCCCTACTCCATCAGGATCCGGTCTTACTACCTAGAGCAGCGTTTCTCAACCTGTGGGTCGGGACCCCTTGGGGGGTTGTGAGGGGGTGTCAGAGGGGTCTCCAAAGACCATCAGAAAACACAGTATTTTCTGTTGGTTATGGGGGTTCTATGTGGGAAGTTTGGTCCAATTGGTGGGGTTCAGAATGCTCTTTGGTTGCAGGCAAAGTATAAATCCAACCAGCTACAACTTCCAAATGTCAAGGTCTATTGTTCCCAAACACCACCATTGTTCACATTTGGGCAAATTGAGTAGGCGTGCCAAGTTTGGTCCAGATCCATTATTGTTTGAGTCCACAGTGCTCTCTGGGTGTAGGTGAACTACATCTCCAAAATTCAAGGTCAATGCCCATGAAACCCTTCCAGTATTTTCTGTTGGTCGTGGGAATCCTGTGTGTCAAGATGGGTTCAGTTCCATCATTGGTGGAGTTCAGAATGCTCTTTGATTGAAGGTGAACTATAAATCCCAGCAACTACAACTCCCAAATGACAAAATCAATCCCCAGTATTCAAATTTGGGCATGTTGGGTATTTGTGCCAAATTTGGTCCCGTGAATGAAGACACATCCTGCGTATCAGATATTTACACGATGATTCATAACGGTAGCAAAATGACAGTGATGAAGCAGCAACGGAAATACTGTTATGGTTGGGGGTCACCGCCACATGGGGAAATGGAGGAAGGGGTCGTGGCATGAGGAAGGTGGAGAACCACTGACCTAGAGCCTCTGCTGGGGAACCAGACTTGTGTAGAGAATAAGGAGGAATGGCACACCCTCTTTCAGGGTTCAGGGCAAAACTCTATTTTCCCATTATGGACCCTTTGGACGCAGAAAGCGCTGGCCATCCGCGAGAAGATGGAAGCCGAGAGAGGGGGCCTTGCTGCCCTCAACATCCTCCACACTTCCAAACTTCATCCGGACATGCCACGCGTTTGACCTCCCCGCGCCCCCGTCCAGACCCGACTTGAAGGAATTCATCCATGTTTAATCTTTGAACCTTGTCGTTGCACAATCACTGAGGAGTGGGTCGACAGGCCAGTCGGCCCCGATGCCTTGTGTTCCTATATGGTTTTACTGTATGTATGGGCACGTGTGTATGTCTTGTATGTTTTGCATGTTTTGATATGGTCACAATTGACTCATCAATAAAGAATCGTTGTTGTCTATGCCTGTTGTCCTAAAGCCTGTTCCCAGGACCACGACTTCCATTTCTTCCTAAATGACGGGAGGGACGGAGCCGATCTCACCTCAGTGGGAAGCGAGTTCCACAGGCGGGGGCCACAGCCGAGAAGGCCCTGTCTCTCGTCCCCGCCAGACGTATTTGCGACGCCAGCGGGAGCGAGAGCGGGGCCTCCCTGGATAATCTTAACCTGCGAGGCGGGACGTAGAGGGAGATGCGTTCGGACAAGTAAGCTGGGCCAGATCCTCTGCGGTGGGTTTGATTCTAATCTCTTGTGCCGCCAGGACTGCTGACTGAAAGGTCTGTGGTTCGATTCCGGGGAGCAGGGTGAGCTCCCGTCTGTCAGCTCCAGCTTCTCATGTGTGGACCTGAAAGAGGCCTCCCACAGGATGGTAAAACGCCCGGGCATCCCCTGGGCAAGGTCCAGTGGCCTCATACCAGAAGTCCTTTGTTTGCAGGGCTTTGGAGAGAAAGAGGCTCCTTCCCCTCTTTCCAGGGTCAAGGAAGGGTGAAGGGGAGGGAGTGTGGTCTTCCTAGAGAGGCAGGAAGGAAGTGGGCCTCCCCCCAGACCCGCCTTTCCGGTCCCTCTAGGAGCCAGACTCCCTCCTCTTTAGCATTCCTTGCCTGGCTGGGAGAGGAGAGTGTCCCCTTTGGCCTCTCCTTCCTCCTCCTCATCCTCCTGGTCTCCTTCCTTCTCTTCCTCTCCTTCCCATTCCTTCTCCAAAGGTGGTTTTTGGCTGAGGATTTTGGAGTCCAGCCTGTGGAGGGATTTCTTTCCCTTGAGAGAAGAGGGAGGAAACGCATCTGGGATTCCTCATCTTGGGTTCTTCATCAAAGAGTGGTTCCAACATGGAGAGACCCAACTCACCTGGACCTGAGGCAGGACTTCGAAGCAGTGGGGAATCCTGGGAAGGAACTACGCAGATGTTCCTGGATGCGCACACACAGTTCCAGCGCTTCAAGCATTCCTCCTACGGAGAGGGCGAGGGGCCCAGAGAGGTTTGCAGCCGCCTCCACTCTCTCTGCCGCCAGTGGCTGAAGCCAGAGCAACACACCAAGGCGGAGATGCTGGACCTGGTGATCCTGGAGCAGTTCCTGAGCATCCTGCCCCCAGAGATGGGGAGCTGGGTCCGAGAGTGTGGGGCAGAGACCTCTTCCCAGGCGGTGGCCCTGGCGGAAGGCTTCCTCCTGAGTCGGGCAGAGGATGAGAAGCAGGAAGGACAGGTGAGAGCATTGCCTCTTGGCTTCACTCACCTTGGGACTGATGGAGAGATTAAACGTACATCCTGCCTTCCTTCCAAGATGGGACTGACGTGAGGGAGAAGCCGGACTCAGCTCCCTCAGCCTCTTTTCCCACTTTCTTTGCCCCTCCTGCTCTCACCTCCATATCCACTGTAAGCTCAGTTGCTGCTCTATTCAAATTTGTTGACCCCGGATATCACACTGGAAATGACAGGAGGGGGAATATGGCATTAGTTAGGTGGCCATCTCAGTTATTCTTTCAAAAAAACCCATGCAGTTTCTGCATATAGGTCTGTGATATTTTTGAAAATTCTCTGTACTTCTTCTGGAATACTCTCTGCTCTTCCAGGCCCAAAATAACTGCATGGAAGTCCAGCCTGATGTCCCTTCATCAGAAAAGCCTCACTCGGACACCAAGCAGAGCCTCCGGCAGAAGGAGCTGAAGCAGGAAGGAGAGGAAGGAGAGGAAGGAGAGGGGGCTGCAGCCTGGCAGGGTAAGAAGGAACTCTTCTGGGAGTTTTGGTGTTTTATGCCAGTGGAAATTCCCTTTGCAGGGGATTGTAGCACATCCCCGGTTTGAGCTTGAGAAGGTGCACATGAAGGATCTTTTGGCCTTGAGATGGGTATATATCTTATACTCACATCCTTTGTTTGATATCTGTTTTATGTACTTTAATATGTATTTCATAGAAATGTAGGTTTAATGTGGATCTTTCATAAAAATATGTATATTTGTTGAATTCTGCAGTGTTTGTGTTTTGTAAAGTGTGTTGTAACCCTCCTCGAGCCACACAGAGAGACAGATTAGAAGTAAAATTATTATTATTATTATTATTATTATCATTATTATTATTATTTTATTGTTATTATAAATTATAATTATGCTATAATTTATTATAATAATTGTTGTTCATTCGTTCAGTCGTCTCCGACTCTTCATGACCTCATGGACCAGCCCACGCCAGAACTCCCCAATGGCCGTCACCACCCCCAGCTCCTTCAAGGTCAGTCCAGTCACTTCAAGGATGCCATCCATCCATCTTGCCCTTGGTCGGCCCCTCTTCCTTTTTCCTTCCACTTTCCCCAGCATCATTGTCTTCTCTAAGCTTTCCTGTCTCCTCATGATGTGGCCAAAGTCCTTCAACTTTGTCTGTAATATCCTTCCCTCCAATGAGTAGTCGGGCTTTATTTCCTGAAGTATGGACTGGTTGGATCTTCTCCCAGTCCAAGGCACTCTCAGAACTTTCCTCCAGCACCACAGTTCAAAAGTTATATTATAATAATAATATAGTTAATTTATAATAATAATTATAATAATATTATTATTATAATAAATTATTATTATTATCATTATTATCATTATTGTGTTGCTATGCATTTTTCGGGCTGTATGGCCATTTTCCAGAAGCATTCTCCCCTGACATTTCACCCACATCTATGCTAGGCATCTTCACAGGTTGAGGGATCTGTTGGAAACTAGTAAATGAGGTTTATATATCTGTGGATTGTCCAGGGTGGGTTTGTACAAATGCTAGGCTCAGCCAAGGACAGGAGGGGTCCTCTCACCTCTGCAGCAGTCTACCGTACAGAGAAGTCAGCCATAGCCGAGCCCTTCATGAACCAACCTGGGCACAACACATTATTTGTGAACACAGAAATGCTGGACCACTCTCACAATCACCCAAACCTAACATGAGCCTTGAAACTGAGCTGGAAGACAAATAGGCAATGAACAGTAACTTTAGTCAACTGCAATACCAAGCCCAGGACTCCTTTCCTTTCAACCTACTCACAGCAGTGCATGTGAGACAAAAGTCCTAAACCCTAAAATTTTACATATTCTTGGGCTGTGATCATAGGGACATTTCCTTGTAGGTTTCTTTCACAGAATCAACTGTAGAGTTGGAAGAGACCTCATGGGCCATCCAGTCCAACTCCATTCTGCCAAGAACCAAAAAAATTGCATTCAAAGCACGCCAGACAGATGGTCATCCAGCCTCTGTTTAAAAGCATCCAAAGAAGGAGCCTCCACCACATTCCGGGGCAGAGAGTTCCACTGCTGAACGGCTGTCACAGTCAGGAAGTTCTTCCTCATGTTCAGGTGGAATCTCCTTTCTTGAAGTTTGAAGCGATTGCTTCATTGTGTCCTAGTCTCCAGGGAAGCAGAAAACAAGCTTGCTCCCTCCTCCCTGTGGCTTCCTCTCACATACTTATACATGGCTATCATGTCTCCTTTCAGCCTTCTCTTCTTCAGGCTAAACATGCCCAGCTCTTGAAGCCGCTCCTCATAGGGCTTGTTCTTCAGACCCTTGATCATTTGAGTCGCCCTCCAGCTTGTCAATAACTCTCTTCAATTGTGGTTCCCAGAATTGGACACAGTGTGATTCCAGGTGTGATCTAACCAAGGCAGAATAGAGAATGGGGAGCATGACTTCCCTGGATATTTATAGGATTTTAATTGTGACCTCTGAGGCATGTTTATGTGATCAGCTTTCCACACTTTCCACTCTCTCTCTCTCTCTCTCTCTCTCTCTCCCAGGGGCTGGAATGAGGTTGTTGCCAAAGCCACAGTTGAGTCTTCCCCTTTTGGAAGTGAATCAGGTAAGCAGAAGGATTCCTGGGAGAGGAGGAAGGGAGCCGCCTGGGGGTCATTTCTTCCAGGCTTCATCCTCAAACATCTCTTGAAACAGAAAAGATTGAATGGGAGTTTCTTAAAAGTGAGATACTGAAGGCACAATTGCAAACAGTCCCAACAGGGAGGAAAAAATAAATAAGAGTCTAATGAAACCAGAATGGATGTTCAATGAACTTTCAGCTGAGCTAAGATTTAAAAGGGACGTGTTTGAGAAACGGAAAAGGGGGGAAATCACCAAAGAATTCAAAGAACTAACCAGCATAAGTAAGAAAAGGTCTGACAACCTTGCCAGAGAGATTACAAAGAATAAAAAGTGGATTCTTTCATTGTGTCAGTAGAAGAAGGAAAAATGAAGAAGTGATAGGGTTTCTGCCTGGAGAAGGTGGTGAGATGCAAACAGGGGATGGGGAAGAGGGAGAACGTGGCCTCAGTCCTCTCCCAAAAGGGAATCCATATTCTGCCTGAGCATGATGGAGTAGGTGAGGTAAGAGGGGAAATGCAACCCCAAATGGGTAAAGAAGCAGTCCAGGAATAGCTGGGCACTCTCAATGAATTCTGGTCTCCAGGACCACAGGAATGACACCCAAGAGTCTTGAAGGAACTCGCGGAAGAAATTTCAGAACCACTGGCAACAATCTTTGAGAACTCCCGGAGAACGGGAGAAGTCTGACCAGAGTGGAGGAGGCAAAGAGTGTCTCTGTCTTCCAGAATGGACAAGGGGTGCTCACCAGCGGTTCCTCTTCATCCTGGAAAGAAGGGAGGAGTGCTGCAGGGCTCTTTTGGGGGTTCTGTCCTGGGCCCAGTGCTGTTCCACACCTTTCTTATTGGCTTGGATGAAGGTTCAGAGGGCATGCTTATCATGTTTGCAGATGACACCAAATGAGGATCAGAATTCAAAATGGCTTCAACATGTTAGAGAGCTGGTTGAAAACCAAAAATTAATTTCAACAAAGAGAAATGTAGGAAATACACAATGCATAGACACAGCATGGGTAACATCTGGCTTGACAACAGTCCATGTGAAAGGGATCTTGGAGTGTTAGTAGACCACAAGTTGGAGATGAGCCAGCAGTGAGATGCACAGGTATACAAGTCTCAGGTGAGAAGGATTTCTCTTTCTTTTCCCTCCAGGGCCCAATCGCCTTTGAGGAGGTGGCTGTCCCTTTCCCCCCGGAGGAGTGGGTTCTCCTGGATCCTGATCAGAAAGCCTTGCACGTGCAGATCATGGAGGAGATTCGTGGGATGGTGGACTCTCTTGGTAAGGCCCCCTCATTCCTGGGGATTTCTGTTTCAAAATGCAGCATCCCAGTCAGCAGCTCTCTGGTGGGAGCAGGATCCTCCATCATCCAAATCTCTGAGAGTTCTCAAGGCAGGGCTTTGGTTGGAAATATAGGACATGAGTGGAACATGGACTTGGTGCCTGAGTCACAGTGGTGATGGCACCAATTCACACTCTAGTGGGAAGACTTCCTTAACTGGAGCCGATTCCAAGCGCACCACACTCCCTCTCAGCAAAAGACATCCCCGCCCCCCATTCTGGAAAACTCCCCCCTAGAAAGAGGGGCCAGAGAATGGATCTTCAAAAAAAGCAAACTTCCCTGGCTTCAGATACGCAGAGGCAGCTATACATCTTTTTATGGGTATGGTATTCAGCTGAGTTTTTCCTCCCAACCAGGCAGGCTGGCCTTTGCATGTCTGACGGCTAAGCTCTCTTTCTGCGTAGCCTCCCCCAGCACACAAACAGCCCCCGACCTCAGTCATCCGCATTATGGCGACTTGTAATATAATGCGTTCTATGTTCTCTGATTGTGAACAACGGGGGCTCAGGGTGGTTTGTGCCCTGGGAGAGGCATCTAGCAGTCATCAAACTGGTTGGTAGAGAAATAAAAAGGAGGGAAGAAGGGAAACTCTTAAGCTAGAGAAAAAGCAAAGCCTTTGGATGTGAAGGGAAAAGGCATCCATTCCCCCCGAGAGAAGGAGACAGAATACAAACCTGGACTGGGCTGAGCAACAAGAGCCTCTGGAGCATGTGTCACTCATCTCTCTCTTCAAGGCTCCAGGCAGTCACACAGGGCCCATCTTTGAACAAGGGGTGGGGAAGTGACAACAGTTCTCTCTCTCCACCTCCATGTCTAGGCTGTTTTAGGAATCCTTTCAATCCACTCCTTATCCCACTTCCTCAGAGTCCTCATCACTCACGCTGAGGAATGATTGTTTCTGCCCTTCTTCTTCCTAGCAGATAACTGGAAGAAGAGCAATGTGTGCACCAAACACAGGACGCATTTGGAACACAATGGGGACCTTCCTAGACACCAGCAAACTCACAGTGAAAATGGAGATTCTGCCAGAGAAAGGCCCTACAAATGCAATGTGTGTGGACAATGTTTTACACAAAATATGGGACTTATACTTCACAAGACACTCAGTGCTGGGAGAAGCCATTGTAAATGGAAAATATCAGCAAAATGTATTGCTGATTACGAATTGACACATCGGAGCCAAGAAGAAATCTTTCAAGGAACTGACGATATCATAAGCCGGGAGTGTGGGACATCTTTTTTGCAGAGTTCACACTTGAAACATGAGCAATTTCACACAAGACAGGAACCATACAGATGCCAGGAGTGTGGAAAGTGTTTTGCTTCCAGTTCACAATTGATGAGGCACAGAAAGCTTCACACAGGAAAGAAAAGGTACAAGTGCCAGAAGTGTGGGAAAAGTTTTACTCAGAATACACAACTTATAGACCACTGGAGATCCCACACAGGAGAGAAGCCATACCAATGCCAGGAGTGTGGGAAATGTTTTGCTCGCTGTTCAAACTTGGTGAGCCACAAAAGACTACACACCGGAGAGAAGCCATACCAATGCCAGGAGTGTGGAGGAAGTTTTGCTCGCTGTTCAAACTTGGTGAGCCACAAAAGGCTCCACACAGGAGAGAAGCCATACCAATGCCAGGAGTGTGGGAAATGTTTTGCTCGCTGTTCAAACTTGGTGAGCCACAAAAGATTACACACAGGAGAGAAGCCATACCAATGCCAGGAGTGTGGAGGAAGTTTTGCTCGCAGTTCACATTTGGTGAGGCACAAAAGACTCCACACAGGAGAGAAGCCATACCAATGCCAGGAGTGTGGGAAACCTTTTGCTCAACATTCAGCCTTGGTGAGCCATAAAAGAGTCCACACAGGAGAGAAGCCATACCAATGTCAGGAGTGTGGGAAATGTTTTGCTGAGCGTTCAACCTTGGTGAGCCACAAAAGACTCCACACAGGAGAGAAGCCATACCTGTGCCAGGAGTGTGGGAAATGTTTTGCTCACAATTCACATTTGGTAAGACACAAAAGACTCCATGCAGGACAGAAGCCTTAGAAATGCCAGGAGTGTCAGAAATGTTTTGCTTTCCCCACACCCACAAAAAACTACACAAAGGATAGAAAGGTTAAAAGATCCAGAAGTATGGGAAATGTTTTATTTAGACGTCATCCCATAACAAGCACTAGAGAATATACACAGGCTAAAAACATACAAATGCTAAGACATGTGGGAAATGTTTTAGTTGAGGTTCTTAACTTTTGAACTATCACAGACTATATTCAGGAGAGACATCATCCAAAGAGCTGGGACAAAATTTATAAAAAAATTTGCAACAGGGAAATGGCAGATGAAATGGCTTCCAGTAACACTTGGCTTGACTTTGGACTCATTTCTTTGACCATTTTCTTCTTAGTGTCATGCTACCCGTGCTCTATTCTGCCTTGGTCAGACCACACCTGGAATCACACACATTCTCTCTCTTTCTTTTTTTCTCTCTCTCCCACTTTTTCTATCTTTTCTTAATTGCTTTTAAATGTTTTTATGGAAAACTTTCAATAAAAATTATTTTAAAAAAAGTTGGGGAGCAATGAGCAATGGTTTGACAGGGAGAGAATATGTCTCACTAGCCATCCTAGAAATACAGATTTTTTTCTTCCATCACTACATCTCTGCCGCCATCTTTAGTCGAAGCCCCCGTTGGTGTTGTGGGTCCAACCCTTGTGCCTTCCACAAAATATCCCACTTATACCGAAAATAGAAAATAACTGAATTCAGCGAATAATTGTAGAAACCTGTTACACTGTTCAAATTCACAGTAATCGCAAACAATATTATATGGATTCTATACAATCCCTCTGAAATGGGATCAATGCGTGTCTTCTTCTGCCGAGTGGAACAGGACCGGTTTGGGCCTCACTCCAGGCCTTCCTCTGGCGGTCAAGTTCTAAACGTGACACTTGTTTGCCTTCGAGAGACAGGTTTTTATACTTTGTGGGATGGGAGATTAATTATTTACTAGCCGTCCCCTGCCACACGTTGCTGTGGCCTAGTCTGTGTGTATGTGCTTCGTGTGCATATATTTGTGTATATGTGTGTGTGTGTGTGTGTGTGTGTGTGTGTGTGTGTGTGTGTATATATATATATATATATATATATATATATATATATATGGTTTTGCACATGTGCTGTTGAGGTTTTTATTTTTATTTTTTGGCTTTTTAGGTCTCTTCTGCTGTGTTTTTCCACGTTTTTATGAGTGATGGTCACTTGTTGGCCTGATTTATGAGTGATGGTCACTTGTTGGCCTGATAGGTTTATTGTTTCCAAATCTGAAAAACGCAGTCATAAAATAACAGTCATAAAATAACATTCTAATAAACACAATCATGATAACGATAATGGACGGGCCGCATATACAAGATAAAAACAATTAAAAGACTTAAAATAGGAGCAGGACATTTCCTGCGGGAAGGTAACGGCATTCCATGGAGTCAGGGGCGGCTCGTCCATTACGCGAAGTAAGCGGTCGCAGAACACCTTTTTTTTGCTAGGGGCGCAGTGGCGCCTCTGTAAATGCCTCTCGACCGCCACTTGAGGAGCGCCCCCTCAGCTCACAACAGCTCTAGCAGTCCGGAGGGAGCCTCGGCTTTCTTGCCTCGCTGCCAGGCGATCCTCTTCCCAAAGGGGCCGGGCTCTTGAGCCTCGCCTAGCCCCTCTCCTTCCTACTCCACCCAGCCACCGGGTGCGCGAGCAGAGCCGGCGCTCCATCGTTCTCCGCGTTCGATCCCTTCCCCATGACCGGCTTCCTTTTCCGATCCCCCGGCGCTCCACCCGCCTCCTCTCCTCTCCCCAATCCGTGGGTGGGCCAAGGGGTGGAGCCGCCGCGCCTGGCCCGCTTCGGGTCCGGAGGCGTGTCTGAAGACCCCAGCGTGCGCACCAAAAGTCGCCTCTTCTCCTGACTTTCTCTTCAGCCATTGGGACCAAGAGAGAGAGAGAGCCCTCTGGCTGGAGGTATCTCCCACCTCCGCTCCCTCCTTTGTTTTTGCGCCTACCTTCAGGAAAGGTGGGCATCTCCACCTCTCTCTCTCTCTCTCTCTCTCTCTTGGTCCCAATGGCTGAGGAGAAAGTCAGGAGAAGAGGTGACTTTTGGTGCACACACCGGGGTCTTCAGGCACGCCTCCAGACCCAAAGCAGGCCAGGCAAGGGAGCAAGTGCGGCAAGTGTAGTTACTGGGATGTATAGTTCACCTACAATCAAAGAGCATTCTGAACTCCACCAATGATGGAATTGAACCAAATATGGCACACAGAACTCCCACGACGAACAGAAAATATATATCAGTGATTGGTTGGGGGGGGGGGGGGCACCAAAATACTGTTTGCTTACCGTTGAAAATTACCTAGGGCCACCTCTGCATGGAGTCATGCCAGTGGCCACATGACCTTGGAAATGTCTACGGACAACGCTGGCTCTTCGGCTTAGAAATGGAGATGAGCACCACGCCCCAGAGTTGGACACGACTGGACTTAATGTCAGGGGACAACCTTTACCTTTTTTACCAGGAAGAAGTGCTGGGTGTCCCCTCCTGCCAGGCAATCAGGGGGTGGCATTCCAAAAAAGCAGGTACAAAGGGAAAGGTAGACGGGCTCTGCTTAAAGGGGCCACGTGCATTTTTTCCCCTTCTTCCTGAAGTAGCCGCAAAAAGATATTGTAGCGAATGTCTCTTTTTCTCCCAACAAACAAATCTAGTGTATCCTCTCCTTACGTTTCGCCTGCATTTATGGAAGGTATCCTCAGAAGTTGTGAGTTCTGACAACCTCTGAGGATGCCTGTCATAGATGCAGGTGAAACGTCAGGAGAGAATGCTTCTGGAACACGGCCATACAGCCCGAAAAACTTACAGCAACCCAGTGTTTCCGGCCATGAAAGCTTTCGACAACAAATCTAGTGTATCCTTTTATTTTTTGCTTGGCTTGGTCAAGGTCAAGACAATATATTGTCACGGTTATAAATACACATTATTATTAATAATTACTGAATTGATATTTCACGCAATAATAGATTAGGAGTTTCTCTTCCTGTTTCTTTGAGTCTTTGAGTGAAGCCACACTACAGAATTTATGCAGTTTGACACCATTATCATGCCTCAATGCTATAGAATCCTGGGATTTGTAGTTTGGTGAAGAGCCAGCACCCTCTGTTTGGCAAAGAAGGTTCCCATGACTCCATAGCATTGAGTCACGGTAATTAAAGTGGTTTTATTTATTTATTGTGTCAGGAGCAGACCAAACAGTTGTGTTGCATTTTTAACTGACAAACAAACAGACAGACAGACAGACAAAACACAAAGTTTGTAAGCTTGGTAGTTGATTCAATGTCCTTTGACCAGTAGCTGGCCACTTAAAGTGGTGTCAAACTGAATTAATTCTACAGTGCAAATGCACCTTTGATCACTGGGTTGCTGTGAGTTTTCCAGAAGCATTCTCTCCTGGCGTTTTGCCTGCATCTATGGCAGGCATACAGGCATTCTCCTGAGGAATCTGTACAAGGACCAAGTAGCAACAGTCAGAACTGACCACGGAACAACAGACTGGTTCAAGATTGGGAAAGGCGTACCGGCAAGGCTGCATCCTCTCACCCAACCTTTTTAACTTGTATGCAGAACACATCATGCGAGGATGTGCGGGGCTGGATGAATGCAAAGCTGGGGTGAAAATTGCTGGAAGAAACATTAACAACCTCAGATATGCAGATGACACCACTCTGATGGCCGAAAGCGAGGAGGAGCTGAGGAGCCTTCTAATCAAGGTGAAAGAAGAAAGCGCAAAAGCCGGGTTGCAGCTAAACGTCAAAAAAACCAAGATTATGGCAACAAGAATGATTGACAACTGGAAAATAGAGCGAGAAACCGTGGAGGCCGTGACAGACTTTGTATTTCTAGGTGCAAAGATTACTGCAGATGCAGACTGTAGCCAGGAAATCAGAAGACGCTTACTTCTTGGGAGGAGAGCAATGTCCAATCTCGATAAAATAGTAAAGAGTAGAGACATCAGAATGGCAACAAAGATCCATTGCCTAGTCAAAGCCATGGTATTCCCTGTAGTCACCTACGGATGTGAGAGCTGGACCTTAGGGAAGGCTGAGCGAAGGAAGAGATGCTTTTGAGCTGTGGTGTTGGAGGAAAGTGCTGAGAGTGCCTTGGACTGCGAGAAGATCCAACCAGTCCATCCTCCAGGAAATAAAGCCCGACTGCTCACTGGAGGGAAAGATACTAGAGACAAAGTTGAAGTACTTTTGCCACATCATGAGGAGACAGGAAAGCCTAGAGAAGACAATTATGCTGGGGAAAGTGGAAGGCAAAAGGAAGAGGGGCCGACCAAGGGCAAGATGGATGGATGGCATCCTTGAAGTGACTGGACTGACCTTGAGGGAGCTGGGGGTGGTAACGGCCGACAGGGAGCTCTGCCGTGGGCTGGTCCATGAGGTCACGAAGAGTCGGAGACGACTGAACGAATGAACAACAACATGGCAGGCATCCTCAGAGGCTGTGAGGTCTGTTGGAAACTAGGCAAGTGGGGTTTATATATCTGTGGAATGTCCAGGGTGGGCCAAAGAACTCTTGTCTGTTGGAATCAAGTGTGAATGTTTCAATCGGCAACCTTGATTAGCATTGAATTGCCTTGCAGCTTCAAAGCCTGGCTTCTCCTAGCCCCGTGATGGCGAACCTATGACACGCGTGTCAGCACTGACACGCATAGCCATTTTCAATGACACGCAGCCACATAGCGCCAAATCCCGAAGGGCACGCCCCTGGCTGGTTGCTTGCTTGCTCGCTCCTCCAAACGGTAGAAAGAGAGGGAGAGAGGAAAAAAGGTGTGCTGTCTCTTTAAGGAGCGCTCGCGGGAGAAAGGATCCTCCGGCCCCGCCCCTCGCCTGCCAATCACCCGGCTGCGCCTTTGACCTGGCAGCTTTTGGTGAAGGGAGGCGAGGGCTGTCTCTGCCCGGCGCGCGCACACACAGGCGCACCTTGGTGGTTGGGGTCTTTTTTTCCTCCTCCTCAGCTAAACCCATCCGGCGCTGCTGCTTCTGTCTCAGGCTGGGCTGGCAGCTAGTCAAACTTTCCTGAGGCAGGAGGGCCAAGTTGGGGGGGGGGGGGGGCGCTGGCCCCATCCTGCATTCCCTCCTCTCTTCCTCACTTTTCCAGATTTTCCCTTTCTCTCTCTCTCTCTCTCTCTCTCTCTCTCTCCTCCTCCTCCTTCCTATTCACCCCACCCTTCCTTTCCTCCATCCTGTGATCCTGGTATTTTCACTGTAGTTTTTAGATCTCTCCTCTCATCCCAACATCCTTCTGACCGTCTATTCCTGTTCTTATCTGCCTCTCTGCTCAGGGTGGGGTGCAACAGAGCTAAAACACATAATTACAAGTAATCAAATGCCTATATTAAAAGACATCAACCAAAGCTTTACACACATTGGGTTGCTGTGAGTTTTCCGAGCTGTCTGGCCATGTTCCAGGAGCATTCTCTCCTGACGTTTTGCTCACATCTTATGGCAGCATCCTCAGAGGTTTGTTGGAAACTAGGCAAGTGGGGTTTATATCCCTGTGGAAAAACGTCCAGGGTGGGAGAAATCTGTTAGAGGCAAGTGTGAATGTTAATTTATCCACGTCCATGATTTCCATCACTTTCATAGAATCATAGAGCTGGAAGAGACCTCATGGGTCATCCACTCCAACTCCATTCTGCCAAGGAACAGGAAAATCGTATTCAAAGCACCCCTGGAAGATGGTCATTCAGCCTCTGCTTAAAAGCCTCCAAATAAGGAGCCCTCCACCACACTCCGGGGCAGAGAGTTCCACTGCTGAACACTTCTCACAGTCAGGAAGTTCTTCCTCGTGTTCAGGTGGAATCTCCTTTCCTGTAGTTTGAAGCCATTGTTCCATTGCGTCCTCGTCTCCAGGACAGCAGAAAACAAGCTTGCTCCCTCCTGACTTTTGTCAGCGTTAGCAGAGTATAGCAGAAGCTTTTGAAGCTCAGAATAATGGACTCTGGAGACTCCGGTAAAAGCAGGTATTCAGCTTTACTAAAGCAGCTCAAAATATACACCATACACAATCAGCAGACAGACACGAAGAACAAACCAAAAAAGATAGAAGCTAATACACACACTGTAGCTAGAAGGGAGTTATCTCTGTTCTTTCTCTCAAGGCAAGAACTCAGGGTCACATCTTCACAGCTTGCTAACTCTGCTGTTTAACCCTTCTGTGTCAGAATACATTCTGGCAATACAATCCTTTTACAATCACAATCCTATTACATAAAATTACATTTAAACGCACATCATACAAAAACCATACACTGACAACTTTCCCTCACATCTTTCTACATGGCCCTCATCATGTTTCCTCTCAGCCTTCTCTTCTTCAGGCTAAACATGCCCAGCTCTTCATGCCACTCCTCATAGGGCTTGTTCCCCAGACCCTTGGATCATTTGAGTCGCCCTCCTCTGGACACATTCCAGCTACACAACATCTCCCTTCAATTGCAGTGCCCAGAATTGGACACAGTGTGGTTCCAGATGTGGTCTGACCAAGGCAGAATACAGCACAGGTAGCATGAAACTAAGAAGAAAATTGTCAAAGAAATTGGACTCAAGCCAAGTGTTACTGGAAGCTATTTCATCTGCCATTTCCATGTTGCAAAACATTTTATTAATTTTGTCCCAACTCTATGGATGATGTCTCTCCTGTATGTAGTCTGTGATAGTTCAAAAGGTAAGAAGCTCAACTAAAACATTTCCCACATGCCTGCATTTGTATGTTTTTAGCCTGTGTATATTCTCTAGTGCTTGTTATTGGAGGACGTTTAAATAAAACATTTCCCATACTGCTGGATCATTTAACCTTTCTATCCTTTTTGTAGTTTTTTGTGGGTGTGGGGAAAGCAAAACCTTTCTCACACTTCTGGCATTTCTAAGGCTTCTGTCCTGTGTGGAGTCTTTTGTGGCTCACCAAGGCTGAACTGTGAGCAAAACATTTCCCACACTCCTGGCATTGGTATGGCTTCTCTCCTGTGTGGAGTCTTTTGTGCCTCACCAAGTCTGAACGGCAAGCAAAACATTTCCCACACTCCTGGCATTGGTATGGCTTCTCTCCGGTGTGCTGTCTTTTGTGCCTCAGCAAGACTGAACTGCGACCAAAACATTTCCCACACTCCTGGCATTGGTATGGCTTCTCTCCTGTGTGGAGTCTTTTGTGGCTCACCAAGTTTGAACGGACAGAAAAACATTTCCCACACTCCTGGCATTGGTATGGTTTCTCTCCTGTGTGGAGTCTTTTGTGGCTCACCAAGTCTGAAGGGTAAGCAAAACATTTCCCACACTCCTGGCATTGGTATGGTTTCTCTCCGGTGTGGAGTCTTTTGTGGCTCACCAAGTTTGAAGTGGAAGCAAAACATTTCCCACACTCCTGGCATTGGTATGGTTTCTCTCCGGTGTGGAGTCTTTTGTGCTTCACCAAGTGTGAAGGGTAATCAAAGCATTTCCCACACTCCTGGCATTGGTATGGTTTCTCTCCTGTGTGGGCACTTTTATGTCTCACCAAGTGTGAACGGTCAGCAAAACATTTCCCACACTCCTGGCATTGGTATGGTTTCTCTCCGGTGTGGAGCCTTTTGTGGCTCACCAAGTTTGAAGTGGAAGCAAAACATTTCCCACACTCCTGGCATTGGTATGGCTTCTCTCCTGTGTGGACTCTTTTGTGCCTCACCAAGTGTGAATGGTAACTAAAACATTTCCCACACTCCTGGCATTGGTATGGCTTCTCTCCTGTGTGGGATCTCCCATGGTCTATAAGTTGTGTATTCTGAGTAAAACATTTCCCACACTTCTGGCACTTGTACCCTTCCTTTCCTGTGTGAAGCTTTTTGTGCCTCATCAGTTGTGAACTGGAAGGAAAACACTTTCCACACTCCTGGCATCTATATGGTTTCTGTCCTGTGTGAAATCGCTCATGTTTCAAGTGTGAACTCTGCATCAAAGATGTCCCACACTCTTGGCTTATGATATCGTCAGTTCTTTGAAAGATTTCTTCTTGGCTTTGATGTGGCGATTCGTAATCAGCAATACATTTTGCTGATATTCTCCATTTACAATGGCTTCTTCCAGCACTGAGTGTCTTGTGAAGTCTAAGTCCCATATTTTGCGTAAAACATTGTCCACATACATTGCATTTGTAGGGCCTTTCTCTGGCAGAATCTCCATTTTCACTCTGAGTTTCCTGGTGTCTAGGAAGGTCCCCATGGTGTCCCAAATGCGTCCTGTGTTTGGTGCACACATTGCTCTTCTTCCAGTTATCTGCTGGGAAGAAGAAGGGCAGAAACAATCATTCCTCAGCGTGAGTGATGAGGACTCTGAGGAAGTGGGATAAGGAGTGGATTGAAAGGATTCCTAAAACAGCCTAGACATGGAGGTGGAGAAGATATCACTGTTGTCGTTTCCCCACCCCTTGTTCAGTCAAGGTGGACCCTGTGTGACTGCCTGGAGCCTCTCAGAGAGAGATGAGGAACACATGCTCCAGGGGCTCCCTGTTGCTCAGCCCAGTCCAGGTTTGTATTCTGTCTCCTTCTCTCGGGGGGAATGGATGCCTTTTCCCTTCACATCCAAAGGCTTTGCTTAAGACTTTCCCTTCTTCCCTCCTTTTTATTTCTCTACCAACCAGTTTGATGACTGCAAGATGCCTCTCCCAGGGCACAAACCACCCTGAGCCCCGGTCGTTCACAATCACAGCACATAGACTGCATTACAAGTCACCATAATGCGGATGACTGAGGTCGAGGGCTGTTTGTGTGCTGGGAGAGGCAACGCAGAAAGAGAGCTTAGCCATCAGACATGCAAAGGCCAGCCTGCCTGGTTGGGAGGAAAAACTCAGCTGAATACCACACCGGAAAAAAGAAGTATAGCTGCATCTGCGTATCTGAAGCCAGGGAAGTTTGCTTTTTTTGAAGATCCATTCTCTGGCCCCTCTTTCTAGGGGGGAGTTTTCCAGAATGGGGGGGGGGGGGTGTCTTTTGCTGAGAGGGAGTGTGATGCGCTTGGAATCGGCTCCAGTTATGGAAGTCTTCCCATTGGAGTGTGAATTGGTGCCGACACCACTGTGATTCAGGCACCAAGTCCATGTTCCACTCATGTCCTATATTTCCAACAAAAGCCCTGCCTTGAGATTGGGATGATCCTGTTCCCACCAGAGAGCTGCTGACTGGGATGCTGCATTTTGAAACAGAAATCCCCAGGAATGAGGGGGCCTTACCAAGAGAGTCCATCATCCCACGAATCTCCTCCATGATCTGCATGTGCAAGGCTTTCTGATCAGGATCCAGGAGAACCCACTCCTCCGGGGAGAAAGGGACAGCCACCTCCTCAAAGGCAATTGGGCCCTGGAGGAAAAAGAAAGAGAAATCCTTCTCACATAAGGCTTTTAAACTGGTGCATCCCACTGTTGGCTCATGTCCAACTTTTTGTTGGAATTAATTTTTAGTTTTCAACAAGCTCTCTAACATGTTGAGGCCATTTTGAATTCTGATCCTGGCTTCTGGAGTATTATCTATCCCTCCTCATTTGGTCTCATCTGCAAACATGATAAGCATGCCCTCTGAACCTTCATCCAAGGTTCAATAAGAAAGGTGTGGAACAGCACTGGGCCCAGGACAGAACCCCCAAAAGAGCCCTGCAGCACTCCTCCCTTCTTTCCAGGATGAAGAGGAACCACTGGTGAGCACCCCTTGTCCATTCTGGAAGACAGAGACACTCTTTGCCTCCTCCACTCTGGTCAGACTTCTCCCGTTCTCCGGGAGTTCTCCAAGATTATTGCCAGTGGTTCTGGAATTTCTTCTGTGAGTTCCTTCAGGACTCTTGGGTGTCATTCCTGTGGTCCTGGAGACCTGAATTCATTGAGAGTGGCCAGCTATTCCTGGACTGCTTATTTACCTGTTTTGGGTCGCATTTCCCCTATTACGCCATCTGCTCCATCTTGTTCAGGCAGAATACGGATTCTCTTTTGGGAGAGGACTGAGGCCACGTTCTCCCTCTTCCCCATCCCCTGTGGTCATGGCACCACCTTCTCCAGGCACAGACCCTACTCTGGGCTCATTCTTCCTTCTTCTACTGACACAACCAAAGAACCACTTTTTATTGTTTTTAATCTGGTTCCATTCTGCTTTCTTTAGACTACTCTTATTTCTTTTTTTTCCTTGCTGTTGGCACTGCCTGCAAGTGTGCCTTCAGTATCTCGCTTTGAAGAAACTCCCATTTGATCTTTTCTGTTTCAAGAGATGTTTGAGGATGAAGCCTGGAATAAATGACCCCAAAGCAGCTCCCTTCCTCCTCTCCCAGGAATCCTTCTGCTTACCTGATTCACTTCCACTCCATCACAAAACGACTGAGGATTCAGCAACAACCTCATTCCAGCCCCTGGGAGAGAGAGAGAGAGAGAGAGAGAGAGAGAGAGAGAGAGAGTAAAGTGTGGAAAGCTTAAGACATAAACATGCCTCAGAGGTGACAATTACAGTCCTATAAATATCCAGGGAAGTCATGCTCCCCATGCTCTATTCTGCCTTGGTTAGACCACACCTGGAATCACACTGTGTCCAATTCTGGGCACCACAATTCAAGGGAGATATTGACAATCTGAAATGTGTCCAGAGGAGGGCGACTGAAATGATCAAGGGTCTGAAAAACAAGCCCTATGAGGAGCGGCTTCAAGAGCTGGGCATGTTTAGCCTGAAGAAGAGAAGCTGAGAGGAGATATGATAGCTATGTATAAATATGTCAGAAGAAGCCACAGGGAGGAGGGAGCAAGTTTGTTTTCTGCTGCCCTGGAGACTAGGACGCAATGGAGCACTGGCTTCAAACTACAAGAGAGGAGATTCCATCTGAACATGAGGAAGAGCTTCCTGACTGTGAGAGCCGTTCAGCAGTGGAACTCTCCGCCCCAGAGTGTGGTGGAGGCTCCTTCTTTGGATGCTTTTAAACAGAGGCTGGATGGCCATCTGTCGGGGTTGCTTTGAATGCAATTTTCTTGCTTCTCGGCAGAATGGGGTTGGACTGGATGGCCCATGAGGTCTCTTCCAACTCTAGGATTCTATGATTCTGTGAAGGAAACCTACGAGGAAATGTCCCTATGATCACATCCCAAGAATATGTAAAATTTTAGGGTTTTGGACTTTGTTTCACAAGCAGCGCTGTGAGTAGACTGAAATGAAACGAGTCCTGGCTTGGTATTGCAATTGACTAAAGTTACTGTTCATTGCCTATTTGTCTTCCAGCTCAGTTTCAAGGCTCATCTTCAGTTTGGGTGTTTGTGAGAGTGGTCCAGCATTTCTGTGTTCACAAATAATATGCTGTGCCCAGGTTGGTTCATGAAGGGCTCGGCTATGGCTGACTTCTCTGGTTGAATCAGTCTGCAGTGCCTTTCCTTTGCCTTAATTAATGTCTGGGCAATGCTGCTGCGGTGTTTGGTGGCCCCTCTGTAAACTTGTCCACAGCTGCATGGTGTACGATAGACTGCTGCAGAGGTGAGAGGATCTCTCTTGTCCTTTGCTAAGCGTAGCATTTGTACAAACCCACCCTGGACATTCCACAGATATATACACCTCACTTACTTAGTTTCCAACAAATCCCTCAACCTGTGAAGATGTCTAGCATAGATGTGGGTGAAACGTCAGGGGAGAATGCTTCTGGAAAATGGCCATACAGCCCAAAAAATGCAGAGCAACACAATAATAATAATAATGATAATAATAATAATTTATTATAATAATATTATTATAATTATAATAATAAATTAATTATATTATTATTATTATATAACTTTTGAACTGTGGTGCTGGAGGAAAGTTCTGAGAGTGCCTTGGACTGCGAGAAGATCCAACCAGTACATACTTCAGGAAATAAAGCCCGACTGCTCATTGGAGGGAAGGATATTACAGACAAAGTTGAAGGACTTTGGCCACATCATGAGGAGACAGGAAAGCTTAGAGAAGACAATGATGCTGGGGAAAGTGGAAGGAAAAAGGAAGAGGGGCCGACCAAGGGCAAGATGGATGGATGGCATCCTTGAAGTGATTGGATTGACCTTGAAGGAGCTGGGGGTGGTGAGGCTGACAGGGAGTTCTGGCGTGGGCTGGTCCATGAGGTCACGAAGAGTCGGAGACGACTGAACGAATGAACAACAACTATTATTATTATAAATTATAGCATAATAATAATTCATAATAATAATAATAATTTTACTTCTAATCAAGGAGGGTTACAACACACTTTACAAAACACAAACACTGCAAAATTCAACAAATATACATATTTCTATAAAAGATCCACATTAAACCACCAAACACGGCTGCTGCGGTGTTTGGTGGTCCCTCTGTAGACTTGTCCACAGCTGCATGGTATACGGTAGACTGCTGCAGAGGTGAGAGGACCGCTCTTGTCCTTTGCTGAGCGTAGCATTTGTACAAAACCCACCCTGGACATTCCACAGATATATAAACCTCACTTACTAGTTTCCAACAGACCCCTCAACCTCTGAAGATGCCTAGCATAGATATGGGTGAAATGTCAGGAGAGAATGCTTCTGTAACATGGCCATAAAGCCTGAAAAATACAAAGCAACATCTCAAGGCCAAAAGATCCTTCATGTGCACCTTCTCAAGTTCAAACTGTGGATGTGCTACAATCCCCTCAAAGGGGAATTTCCACTGGCATAAAACACCAAAACTCCCAGAAGGCTTCCTTCTTACCCTGCCAGGCTGCAGCCCCCTCTCCTTCCTCTCCTTCCTCTCCTTCCTGCTTCAGCTCCTTCTGCCGGAGGCTCTGCGTGGTGTCCGAGTGAGGCTTTTCTGATGAAGGGACATCAGGCTGGACTTCCATGCAGTTATTTTGGGCCTGGAAGAGCAGATAGTATTCCAGAAGTCGTACGGAGAATTTTCAAAAATATCACAGACCTATGTGCAGAAACTGCATGGAATTTTTTTTTGAAAGAACAACTTCTGAGATGGCCACCTAACTAATGCTACCCTCCCCCTCCCATCATTTCCAGTGTGATATCCGGGGTCAACAAATTTGGGTAGAGCAGAAACCCAGCTTACGGTGGATATGGAGGCGAGAGCAGGAGGGGCAGAGCAGGGGGGAAAAGAGGCCGAGGGAGCAAAGTCCGGCTTCTCCCTCACGTCACCCAAGAGGCAATGCTCTCACCTGTCCTTCCTGCTTCTCGTCCTCTGCCCGACTCAGGAGGAAGCCTTCCGCCAGGGCCACCGCCTGGGAAGAGGTCTCTGCCCCACACTCTTGGACCCAGCTCCCCATCTCTGGGGGCAGGATGCTCAGGAACTGCTCCAGGATCACCAGGTCCAGCATCTCCGCCTTGGTGTGTTGCTCTGGCTTCAGCCACTGGCGGCAGAGAGAGTGGAGGCGGCTGCAAACCTCTCTGGGTCCCTCGCCCTCTCGGAAGGAGGAATGCCTGAAGCGCTGGGGCTGTATATTTGTATTCAGGAACGTCTGCGTAGTTCTTTCCCAGGATTCCCCACTGCTCCCGGAGGCCTTGCCTGCTTCAGGTCCAGGTGAGTTGGGTCTCTCCATGTTGGAGCCACTCTTTGATGAAGAACCCAACCGTATCCAAGGTGCGTTTCCTCCCCCTTCTCTCAAGGGAAAGAAATCCCTCAACAGGCTCGACTCCAAAATCTTCAGGCAAAAATCCCCTTTCCTCTGTGAAAGAAAGGCACAATTAGACAACAGGCTTCAGGTGTTTCTTCTTGGAGAGCCAGGCCATGCTGGGCCTCCTTCCACTTGGGCCTCTGCTTCTCAGCCTCCAGACCCACCTGGCCTCCCAGTGAGCTCCCATTCAGTCCCAACCCACTCTGGATTCCCCCAAGACTCCTTCAGCTGAGGCTCCCTCATCCATGGCCTCTCTTGTACTATTCATAAACTCCATGTTCAAGAGATTTTAGAGACTTTAAATAATTGGTCTCTCAGCACTCTTCAAGGAGAAGAGAAGTGGCTGCACACCTTGTTCTCCCCGATTGGAGAATGTGGGGACCCCCAACCCCAGGGGAGGCCAGGCCTGGGCCCCCTTTGGCCCTCGCTCCCTCCCTGCCTCCCTCCAGGTGTGGTGGGCTTCAGCCCCTCTTCCGCCCTTTGGAGAAGGAAGGGGAAGAAGGCTCACCGGAAGAAGGAGAGGAAGAATGAGGAGGAAGAGGAGGAGGAAGGAAACCAGGAGGAGGAGGAAGGAAAGGCCAAAGGGGACACTCTCCTCTCCCAGCCGGGCAAGGGAGGGTGAAGGGGAGGGAGTCCGGTTCTCCCAAAGGACTCGATGCGGCTTACAAAGGCCAAGGCCTCAATGCACAGCATAACAATACAAAACCTGAAGCAAATTAAAAACAATTGAAGCCATATTAAACAACAAAACAACAAACAATACACCAAAACACAATAAAACTGGGCCGGGCCAGAGTAATGGGTACAAAATTAAAAGTGCTGATGTGACAGGTGGTATATAAGGATTATAGGGTATTTATTTACTTATTTCAAAGTTTTATATACCGAGCTTCTCACCTCATTAGAGGGACTCAGCCCGGTTTCCAACCATAAAAACATATACAATCGGTAAAATATAAAAGTACATAATTACAATAAAACACTAGAAAAGCACATATATTTAAAACTATAGAGGTCAGTCGTCATACTAAAATCGAATATACACCGTCTTCCATCCAGATCGTTGTCTCATTCTTTGAAAGCCTGTCTCCACAACCACGACTTCACCTGTTTCCTGAATGTCAGGATTGTTGGGGCGGTCCTGACCTCAGGCGGGAGAGAGTTCGAGAGTCGTGGGGCCACTACCGAGAAGGCCCTGTCCCTCATCCCCACCAGCCGCGCCTGTGAGGCCGGTGGGACCGAGAGCAGGGCCCCTCCAGACGATCTTAGTAATCTTGATGGTATTTATTTGTCGTGTCAGAGCAACCAGTTCGTTATATTACATTTCTAACACAATAAAGCAAACAAACAGAAAGATACAAAACTTGTGAGTTTGGTAGTTGGTTATGTGTCCTTTGACCAGTATCTGGCCACTTGGAGTGCCTCCGGTGTGGCTGCAAGAAGGTCCTCCATTGTGCATGTGGCTGGGCTCATGTTGCATTGCAGTAGGTGGTCAGTGGTTTGCTCATCTCCACACTCTCATGTCGAGGATTCCACTTTGTAGCCCCATTTCTGAAGGTTAGCTCTGCATTTCGTGGTGCCAGAGCGCAGTCTGTTCAGCACCTTCCAGGTCGCCCAGTCTTCTGTGTGCCCAGGAGGGAGTTTCTCATTTGGTATCAGCCATTGGTTGAGGTTCTGGGTTTGAGCCTGCCACTTTTGGACTCTCGCTTGCTGAGGTGTTCCAGCGAGTGTCTCTGTAGATCTTAGAAAACTATTTCTAGATTTAAGTTGTTGACGTGCTGGCTGATACCCAAACAGGGGATGAGCTGGAGATGTCTCTGCCTTGGTCCTTTCACTATTGGCTGCTATTTCCCAGCGGATGTCAGGTGGTGCAATATCGGCTAAGCAGTGTAATTTCTCCAGTGGTGTAGGGCGCAGACACCCCGTGATAATGCGGCATGTCTCATTCAGAGCCACATCCACTGTTTTAGTGTGGTGAGATGTGTTCCACACTGGGCATGCATACTCAGCAGCAGAGTAGCATAGTGCAAGGGCAGATGTATTCACTGTATCTGGTTGTGATCCCCAGCACGAAGCGACCAGCATGAACGTATTCTCCCCCTATGAACCATCAAGATGCTGGTCACCACAGAAGCGACCAGCATCTTGTTGGTTCATAGGGGAGAATACGTTCAGAGTAAGTGCAGTGTGCAGTGTGCGGCAATCTTAGAGACAAAGTGGAAGTACTTTGGCCACATCATGAGGAGACAGCAAAGCCTGGAGAAGACAATTATGCTGGGGAAAGTGGAAGGTAAAAGGAAGAGGGGCCGACCAAGAGCAAGATGGATGGACGGCATCCTTGAAGTGACTGGACTGACCTTGAAGGAGCTGGGGGTGGTGACGGCCGAAAGGGAGCTCTGGCGTGGGCTGGTCCATGAGGTCACGAAGAGTCGGAGACGACTGAACGAATGAACAACAACAATTTTAAATGTGTTATTGTAATTATGAACTATGATATTTTACTGGGGAGATGGTGGCGGGGTATAAATCAAGATTATTATTATTATGAATGCTGGGCCCTCCTTCCTTCCACTGGGGCCTCTGCTTCTCCAGCCTCCAGACCCACCTGGCCTCCCATTGAGCTCCCATTCAGTCCCAACCCACACTGGATCCCCCAAGACTCCTTCAGCTGAGGCTCCCTCATCCATGGCCTCTCTTGTACTCTTCATAAACTCCATGTTCAAGAGGTTTTAGAGACTGGAAGGAATTGGTCTCTCAGCACTCTTCAGAGAGAATAGAAGTGGCTGCACACCTTGTTCTCTCTCCCCGGTTGGAGAATGTGGGGACCCCCAACCAACCAACCCCAGGGGAGGCCAGGCCTGGGCCCCCTTTGGCCCTCCCTCCCTCCCTCCAGGTGTGTGTGTTGGGCTTCAGCCCCTCTTCCGCCCTTTGGAGAAGGAAGGGGAAGAAGACTCACCGGAAGGAGATGAGGAAGGAAGAAGGGTGAGAGGCCAAGAGAACCCACTCCCCTCTGCTAGCCGGATCAGGAAGTGTGAAGGGGAAGGAGTCTGGTTCCTAGAGGGGCAGGAGAGGTGATATAAAGGAGGCCCACTTCCTCCCTGCCTCTCTAGGAAGCCCACACTCCCTGCCCTTAACCCTTCCTTGCCCAGCCTGACACTCCAAGGAGGGGGAAAGGGCCTCTCTCTCTCTCTCTCTCTCCAAAGCCCTGGAAACAAAGGATGAAAGATGAAGGCAGAGGCAGAGTCATGGAAGAAACATTCCATAATAATACCATAGTTAGATTTTATTTTTGTCTGACTTAAGAAACTGCAAGTCACTTCTGTTGTGAGAAAACTGGACGTTGCCCAGAGGATGCCTGGATGTTTTACCCTCCAGTGGGAGGCTTCTCTCCTGTCCCCTCCTAAGAAGTTGGAGCTGACAGGTGGGAGCTCACCCTGCTCCCCGGAATAGAACCACAGACCTTCCCGTCCGCAGTCCTGCCGGCAGAAGGGCTTGACCCACGACACCAACGGGCGTTTCAACGACACAGATCTAGTGATGGAAGAACAACATCTGTATTTATAGGATGGTTAGTGAGATGCAGGCATGTAGCCGGGAAGGAATCCCTCTGGAGCATTGCAGCGCACCCAAATACCTGGGAGTCACTCTGGATCGTGCCCTGACCTACAAGAAGCACTGCCTGGTCATCATGCAAAAAGTGGGCGCTAGAAACAATATCATAGGAAAGCTGACTGGCACAACCTGGGGAACACAACCAGACACAGTGAAGACATCTACCCTTGCGCTGTGCTACTCTGCTGCTGAGTACGCATGCCCGGTGTGGAACACATCTCACCACGCTAAAACTGTGGATGTGGCTCTTAATGAGACATGCCGCATTATCACAGGGTGTCTGCGCCCTACACCACTGGAGAAATTACACTGCTTAGCCGGTATTGGACCACCTGACATCCGCCGGGAAGTAGCAGCCAATAGTGAAAGGACCAAGGCAGAGACATCTCCAGCTCATCCCCTGTTTGGGTATCAGCCAGCACGTCAACGACTTAAATCAAGAAATAGTTTTCTAAGATCTAAAGAGACACTCGCTAGAACACCTCAGCAAGCGAGAGTCCAAAAGTGGCAGGCTCAAACCCAGAATCTCAACCAATGGCTGATACCAAATGAGAGACTCCCCCCTGGGCACACAGAAAACTGGGCGACTTGGAAGGCGCTGAACAGACTGCGCTCTGGCACCACAAGATGCAGAGCCAACCTTCAGAAATGGGGCTGCAAAGTTGAGTCCACGACATGCGAGTGCAGAGAAGAACAAACCAAAGACCACCTGCTGCAATGCACCCCGAGCCCTGCCACATTCACAATGGAGGACCTTCTTGCAGCAACACCAGAAGCACTCAAGTGGCCAGATACTGGTCAAAGGACATTTAATCAACTACCAAACTCACAATTTTCATATTTAGTCTGTTTTTTTTTTTTTTTTGCTTTGTTCTGTTAGAAATGTAATATAATCGACTGGTTGCACTGACACGATAAATAAACCGGGATTGTGGCGCAGCTGGCTGAGTATCAGCTGTATTAAGATCACTCTGACCAAAAGGTCATGAGTTCCAAGCCAACCCGGGTTGGAGTGAGTTTCCAACCAATTGTGTAGCCTGTTGTCGACCTTTGCAACCCGAAAGACAGTTGCATCTGTCAAGTAGGAAAATTAGGTCCCACCTTAAAGTGTGTGGGGGCTAAAGTAACTAATTTATGAGGCCATAAAAAAGACTCCAGCAAAGCACGCCGGCAAAAAAGCATGCGGGGAATGCGGAAGTACTTCATCAGTGTCGCAGATGGACAATGAAAGCGACAGCTCCCCTGGCAGCCAGAAAAAGTTGAATAGCCTCTGTGTATGTCTGCATATGTTGTAAGTCAAAATGGGCATTGAATGTTTGCCATGTATGTGTACACTGTAATCCGCCCTGAGTCCCCTGCGGGGTGAGGAGAAGGGCAAAATATGAAAGCTGTAAATAAACAAAATAAATAAGCATCCTCAGAGGAATGAAGTCTGTTGGAAATAGGAAAAAGGAGGGGTTTACATATCTGTGGAATGGCCAGGGTGGGACAAAGGACTCTTTGTCTGCTGGAGCTAGGTGTGAATGTTTACACTGACCATCTTGATTAGCATTTGATGGCCTAGCAGTGCCTGGAGCAAACTTTTGTTGAGAGGTGATTAGATGTCCTTGTTTGTTTCCCCTCTGATGTTGTGCTGTTGTAATTTTAGAGTTTTTTAATACTGGTAGCCAGATTTTGTTCATTTTCATGGTTTCCTCCCTTCTGTTGAAATTGTCCACATGCTTGTGGATTTCAATGGCTTCTCTGTGTAGTCTGACATGGTGGTTGTGAGAGTGGTCCAGCATTTCTGTGTTCTCAAATAATAAAATGCTGTGTCCAGGCTGGTTCATCAGGTGCTCTGCTATGGCTGACTTCTCTGGTTGAAGTAGTCTGCAGTGTCTTTCCTGTTCCTTAATTCATGTCTGGGCAATGCTGCTGCTTTTGGTGGTCCCTCTGTAGACTTGTCCACAGCTGCATGGTACGCAGTAGACTCCTGCAGAAGTGAGAGGATCCCTCTTGACCACCTGACCACCTGCTGCAATGCAACCTGAGCCCTGCCACATGCACAATGCACAACCACTGACCACCTGCTGCAATGCAACCTGAGCCCTGCCACATGCACAATGGAGGACCTCCTTGCAGCAACACCAGAGGAACTCCAAGTGACCAGATACTGGTAAAAGGACATTTCAACAACTGCCAAGCTTGCAAACTTTGTGTTTTGTCTGTTTGTTTGTTTGTTAAAAATGCAATGCAATTGTTTGGTTGCTCCTGACACGATAAATAAATAAACAAATAAAGATGGCTGGATGGCTCTTTGTCAGAAGGGCTTTGATTATGTTTTCTTGCCCTGGTGACTGGGTGGCCTTGAGTATTTTCTGTTGCTCATGGGGGTTCTGTGTGGGAAGTTTGCCCCAATTCTGTCGTTGGTGGGGTTCAGAACGCTCTTTGATTGTAGGTGAACTTTAAATCCCAGTAACTACAACTCCCAAATGTCAAGGTCTATTTCCCCCAAACTCCATCTGTGTTCATATTTGGGCATATGGAATATTCATGCCAAGTTTGGTCCAGATCCATGGTAGTCTCTGGATGTAAGTGAACTACAACTCCCAAATTCAAGGTCAATGCCCACCAAACCCTGAGTGGTAGTTTGTGCAGTTCAGACCAGGAGAGGACAGCCTCTCCATTTTTGTCCTCTTGAGCATAGTATGATTGTTAAAGTCACCAATTCCTACTGCCTATTGAAGTTCTCGGGAGAGGAGAAACGAAACTCTTCATTTGGAGGCTTGTACACAGAGGGAGTTGTGATGTTATTAAGCTCTACTGTTAAAACCTCTATACTGTTTTCTTCAGTGTTGTGGGCACTGCTGATTTGGGGGCCTGGTTTTACAAAGACGGCGCTTCCATACTGCGCATGTGGTCGTTCCGCTACTAAGATCATTCCTGGAACTTTTGGTCGTTTCTGTTGTTCATCCTTGTGTGTTTCTTGGACACACAGCACATCACATTTCTCATCTTGGCACAGTTCACAGAGCAGTTGTTCTTTGGCAGCTGACATGTCTTCAATGTTGATTGAGATTCTCATCATGGTTGGTCCTGAAAAGGTCCGTTGGTTGTTTTGCTTGCATGCTTGCATGCTGCAAGTCGCTTCTGGAGTGAGAGAATCAGTCGTTTATGAAGACGTTGCCCAGGGGATGCCCGGATGTCTTGCAATCCTGCAAGGAGGTTTCTCTCATGTCCCCCGGGGACAAAGCAATGGTATTCCCCATAGTCACCTATGGATGTGAGAGCTGGAACATAAGGAAGGCTGAGCGAAGGAAGAGAGATGCTTTTGAGCTGTGGTGCTGGAGGAAAGTTCTGAGAGTGCCTTGGACCAAGAGAAGGTCCAACCAGTCCATACTTCAGGAAATAAAGCTTGACTTTTCATTGGAGGGAAGGAGAGTAGAGGCCAAGATGAAGTCCTTTGGCCACATCAGGAGAAGAAAGAAGGCAATGGTGAAGGAAAAAGGAAGAGGGGCCGACCAAGGGCAAGGTGGATGGATGGCATCCTTGAAGTGACTGGACTGACCTTGAAGGAGCTGGGGGTGGTGACGGCCGACAGGGAACTCTGGCGTAGGCTGGTCCATGAGGTCACAAAGAGTCGGAAACGACTGAACGAATGAACAACATTTCTCTCTAAGTCCCGCTTTGCAGTTTAAGATCATCTGGGGAGGCCCTGCCCTCTCTCCTGCCGGCGTCGCAAATACGTCTGGTGGGGACGAGAGACAGGGCCATCTCATTTGTGGCCCCCCGCCTGTGGAACTCACTTCCCACTGAGGTAAGATCGGCTCTGTCCCTCCTGTCATTTAGGAAGAAATTGAAGTCGTAGTTCTGGGAACAAGCTTTTGGACAACAGGCATAGATAGCACATTGGATATGGAATTAGATATGGAATGGACTGGAATGGTGATACAGCTGTTAATACTCGTTTTTTTTACTGTTTTAATTAATGTTTTACTTTTTTTTTAATTGTTATTATATTGCTGTGTTATACGCAAGGGCATCGAATTGATGCCAAATGGAAGTCGTCCTGAGTCCCCCTTCGGGGGTTGAGAAGGAACGGGATAAAAATACTGGAAGTAATAAATCTAGATAAATAAAAATGTAATGTTTGTTTGTGGGATTAACAGAACTCAAAAACCACTGGACAAATTTGGACACAAGACACCTATCAGGCCAACGAGTGACCATCACTCATAAAAACATGGAAAAACACAGTAGAGGAGACTTAAAAAGCCAAAAAAAAAAAAACCATTACATCACATGCGCAAAACCACATATATACACAAACACACATATATACAAATATACATACATAAATATATACACACAAAACACATATATAGACAGACTGGGCCACGGCAACGTGTGGCAGGGGATGGCTAGTAAATAAGATATAGTGATGGGGAAAAATAGATATAGTGATGTGTCAGTTCACGACAGCTGGGCTCAATGATGACACGAGACTTCCATCGTAATCAAACAAAGAACTTTACTATCAGATACTCAGACACAGAAAAGCCGGGATTGCCTGGTCGCAGCAGGCAATCCCTTATATACACTCCCACCAGTTCAAAACGTGAATTCCCGCCAAACCCAAAACCCCGCGCAAAAGTTTCCCGCCACCAGACAACTGCCTCCCTCCAAGGCCACCAGCTGCAGATTCCTTATCGGGGTGAAACGTCAGGAGTCTAGTTTTCGGCGCCAAAGTCTGGGCTCCGGAAACTGGATCCTGACAGTGATGGAAGAAAAATATCTGTATTTCTAGTATGGTTAGCTAGATATATTCTCTCCCTGTTAGTTTTAAGATACCATGAGATCATTAACTAGGAGACGCTAATGATAATGATAATGATGTTGGTTTTTATTGTTCCTATTGTGGTTTTATATAGTTTTAATGCTTAATCTGTATTTTGCTATTGTGTGTACTAACATGTTGTAAACCGCCTTGAGTCACCGATAGGCAGAGAAAGGCTGTATACAAGTATAGTAAATAAATAAATAGATAGATAAATAAATGGCTTGTTGCTCCCCAACATTAAAGGTTGTCTGGCAGTCCAGGGAGCAGAGCCTCCATCTCCGAGAGAGAAAGGGGGTCTCAGCCCCGTGGGGCCAAGTCCCAGGGCTCCCTTTTCCCAAGGAGGAGGAACACAGACTCTGTTGCGCAGCGTGTGTTTCAGCCAGACGTCCCAGCGCCCAAAGCCCAAATGCAAAAGACTCACAGACCAATAGTAAAAGTGAACAGAAAATACTTTACTCTCTTTACTTTGCAGACAGGAAACAAAACTGGCAATGTTGCATACACAAAATCAGCGGTGCCACATATTGACACAGCCTTTGTAAGAAACATAAAATAAGGCATCTCCATCTTTACAGCAACTAAGAGATCAATATAAACCTGAAGTAAAGAGCTATTTCACCATCGCTTCCTCAGAGGAGCTTCTCCAAACTGCTCCCCAGAGCCAAGCCTCTGTCCATAGGTTTCCTCCGAGAAAAGGCTCTCCAGAAGCTCTCCCTCAGGATCTCCCCTTCAGCATCTCCTGCTGGAACTTCACGCTGGTGGACCACAACTCCAGAAGGTGATACTCAAAAACCTCAAAGAGTGATGGCCTCTTCGGTGTGGTACAAGATTGCTGGTTGACTTCCTTAGCCAGCTGAACAAGGGAATGACCACTCAAGAAGGTTTTTCTTCACACACATACTTGGTCCTGCAAGGATTTATCACAACATCAAAAGCACCCACCACAAGCAGGCTCTTCCTTGCCCTCGGCCTTGGAGGCATCACCTGCTGCGAGACCTGCTCTGTAAAGCCGTTCTCTGCAAAGCCGGGGAAGCTTCCTTCAGTTTGGTTGGACTGTTTTCCACATCTCAGTCTTGCACAGGACTACTACCGAGGAGTAGTGGAGGAAGTAGATACAGTCTGTTGATTGAATTGGTCTTCCTGTGTGTTTCTTCATTAATTGCGTTAATTTATCCACGTCCATGATTTCCATCACTTTCATAGAATCGTAGAGTTGGAAGAGACCTCATGGGTCATCCACTCCAACTCCATTCTGCCAAGGAACAGGAAAATCGTATTCAAAGCACCCCTGGAAGATGGCCATCCAGCCTCTGCTTAAAAGCCTCCAAAGAAGAAGCCCTCCACCACACTCCGGGGCAGAGAGTTCCACTGCTGAACACTTCTCACAGTCAGGAAGTTCTTCCTCGTGTTCAGGTGGAATCTCCTTTCCTGTAGTTTGAAGCCATGGTTCCATTGCGTCCTTGTCTCCAGGGAAGCAGAAAACAAGCTTGCTCCCTCCTGACTTTCCCTCACACCTTTATACACGGCCCTCACCATGTTCCCTTTCAGCCTTCTCTTCTTCAGGCTAAACATGCCCAGCTCTTCAAGCCGCTCCTCATAGGGCTTGTTCTCCAAACCCTTGGTCATTTCAGTCGCCCTCCTCTGGACACACTCCAGCTAGACAACATCATCCTTCAATTGCGGTGCCCACAATTGGAAACAGTTTGATTCTAGGTGTGGTCTAACCAAGGCAGACCAGAGCATGGGTAGCATGAGACTAAGAAGAAAATGGTCAAAGAAATGAGTCCAAAGTCAAGCCAAGTGTTACTGGAAGCCATTTCATCTGCCATTTCCCTGCAAAATATTTTATTAATTTTGTCCCAGCTCTTTGGATGATGTCTCTCCTATCTGTAGTCTGTGATGGTTCAAACGTTAAGAATCTCAACTAAAACATTTCCCACATGTTTGGCATTTGTATGTTTTTTAGCCTGTGTATATTCTCTCGTGCTTGTTATGGGATGACATCTAAATAAAACATTCCCCATACTGCTGGATTTTTTAACCTTTCTATCCTTTGGTGGGTGTCTAGTTTTTTGTGGGTGTGGGGAAAGCAAAACATTTCTGACATCCCTAGCATTTCTAAGGCTTCTGTCCTGTGTGGAGTATTTTGTGCCTCACCAAGCCTGAACGGTCAGCAAAACATTTCCCACACTCCTGGCATTGGTATGGTTTCTCTCCTGTGTGGAGTCTTTTGTGGCTCACCAAGTGTGAACTGCAAGCAAAACATTTCCCACACTCCTGGCATTGGTATGGTTTCTCTCCTGTGTGGTGTCTTTTGTGGCTCACCAAACCTGAACGGTCAGCAAAACATTTCCCACACTCCTGACAATGATATGGTTTCTCTCCTGTGTGGAGTCTTTTGTGCCTCACCAATGCTGAATAGTCAGCAAAACATTTCCCACACTCCTGGCATTGGTATGGTTTCTCTCCTGTGTGGAGTCTTTTGTGGCTCACCAAGCCTGAACTTTGAGCAAAACATTTCCCACACTCCTGGCATTGGTATGGTTTCTCTCCTGTGTGGAGTCTTTTGTGCCTCACCAAGACTGAACTTTGAGCAAAACATTTCCCACACTCCTGGCATTGGTATGGCTTCTCTCCTGTGTGGAGTCTTTTATGGCTCACCAAGTCTGAACGATAACCAAAACATTTCCCACACTCCTGACATTGGTATGGTTTCTCTCCTGTGTGGACTATTTTGTGCCTCACCAAGGTTGATCTTTTAGCAAAACATTTCCCACACTCCTGACATTGGTATGGTTTCTCTCCTGTGTGGACTATTTTGTGCCTCACCAAGGTTGAACAGTTAGCAAAACATTTCCAACACTCCTGGCATTGGTATGGTTTCTCTCCTGTGTGGAGTCTTTTGTGGCTCACCAAGTGTGAACTGCAAGCAAAACATTTCCCACACTCCTGGCATTGGTATGGTTTCTCTCCTGTGTGGAGTCTTTTGTGGCTCACCAAGTCTGAAGGGTAAGCAAAACATTTCCCACACTCCTGGCATTGGTATGGTTTCTCTCCTGTGTGGAGTCTTTTGTGCCTCACCATGCCTGACCGGTCAGCAAAACATTTCCCACATTCCTGACATTGGAATGGTTTCTCTCCTGTGTGGAGTCTTTTGTGGCTGACCAAGCCTGAACGATAACCAAAACATTTCCCACACTCCTGACATTGGTATGGTTTTTCTTCTGTGTGGAGTATTTTGTGCCTCACCAAGTTTGAACTGTGAGCAAAACATTTCTCACACTCCTGGCATTGGTATGGCTTCTCTCCTGTATGGACTCTTTTGTGGCTCACCAAGTGTGAACTTTGAGCAAAACTTTTCCCACACTCCTGGCATTGGTATGGCTTCTCTCCTGTGTGGGATCTCCAGTGGTCTATAAGTTGCGTATTCTGAGTAAAACATTTACCACACTTCTGGCACTTGTACCCATTCTTTCCTGTGTGAAGCTTTTTGTGCCTCATCAATTGTGAACTGGAAGCAAAACACTTTCTACACTCCTGGCATCTATATGGTTCCTGTCCTGTGTGAAATCGCTCATGTTTCAAGTGTAAACTCTGCATCAAAGATGTCCCACACTCCTGGCTTATGATATCATCAGTTCCTTGAAAGATTTCTTCTTGGCTCCGATGTGGAAATTTGTAATCAGCAATACATTTTGCTGATATTCTCCATTTACAATGGCTTCTCCCAGCACTGAGTGTCTTGTGAAGTTTAAGTCCCATATTTTGCGTAAAACATTGTCCACACACATTGCATTTGTAGGGCCTTTCTCTGGCAGAATCTCCATTTTCACGGCGAGTTTTCTGGTGTCCAGGAAGGTCCCCGTTGTGTCCCAAATGCGTCCAGTGTTTGGTGCACACATTGCTCTTCTTCCAGTTATCTGCTGGGAAGAAGAAGGGCAGGAACAATCATTCCTCAGCATGCGTGATGAGGACTCTGAGGAAGTGGGTTAAGGAGTGGATTGAAAGGATTCCTAAAACAATGTATTGTCAAAGGCCAGAGTCACTGGGTTGTTGTAGGTTTTTTCGGGCTATATGGCCATGTTCTAGAGGCATTTCTCCTGAAGTTTCGCCTGCACTTATGGCAAGCATCCTCAGAGGTAGTGAGGTCTGTTGGAACTAGGAAAAGGGGGTTTATATATCTGTGGAATGACCAGAGTGGGACAAAGGACTCTTGTCTGCTGGAGCACGGTGTGAATGTTTCGACTGACCACTCACTTATACAGAAAATAGAAAATAAGTGAATTAGATGCAGACGAAACATTAGGAGAAATGCCTCTAGATTAGAACATGGCCATACAGCCCGAAAAAACCTGCAACAACCCAGATTCCTAAAACAGCCTAGACATGGAGGTGGAGAAGACAGAACTGTTGTCGTTTCCCCACCCCTTGTTCAGTCAAGATGGACCCTGTGTGACTGCCTGGAGCCTTGAAGAGAGAGATGAGTGACACATGCTCCAGAGGCTCCCTGTTGCTCAGCCCAGTCCAGGTGCGTATTCTGTCTCCTTCTCTCGGGGGAAATGGATGTCTTTTCCCTTCACATCCAAAGGCTTTGCTTTTTCTCTCGCTTAAGACTTTCCTTCTTCCCTCCTTTTTCTTTCTCTCCCCAACCTCCAGTTCTCTCTTTCCATCTTCAGATAAGATTGGGTTTTTCTACTCCAACGTAGAAGGTCCCAGACCGAATTCTGGAGGGCTGCAGAGATTGGTCTGCTTTGACCATCAACTACTAAATGGGACTCTGACAGTTTTTGGAAGTTTGCTGTAAATATGAGTTCCAAAGGGATAGATTTGCCTGACAAAGTTGGGAATATGCAAGATAGGGACTGTGGAGAAAAAGAGGAAAACAACCATGAAGGCCGAGAAGGGAGAAAAAAAGGAAAGTTTGCAGGAGTCAGCCAGAGATAGAGGGGCGAACGTACCATTGGAAAGAGAGGGGCCTAGAGTGGGATTACTGCTAGATGCCTCTCCCAGGGCACAAACCACCCCGAGCCCCCATCATTCCCAATCACAGAACATAGATTGCATGATTTTACAAGTCGCCATAATGCGGATGACTGAGGTCAGGGGCTGTTTGTGTGCTGGGAGAGGCAACGCAGAAAGCGAGCTTAGCCGTCAGACATGCAAAGGCCAGCCTGCCTGGTTGGGAGGAAAAACTTGGCTGAATACCACACCCATAAAAAGATGTAAAGCCGCGCCTGCGTATCTGAAGCCAGGGAAGTTTGTTCTTTTTGAGGATTCATTCTCTGGCCCCTCTTTCCAGCCAATCTGCTTCCTGTCTCTCCCAGCTCCCCCCCCCCCCCTCACACACACACACACACTGTTCCACCTCCAGAGGCAGAATTCATAATATGCTCCCTGTGCCTTTAAGGGTAAGGGGAGGGGGGGGGAGAGGAGCTCAATCCTGCTTTAGAGTGACAGTTTTGACAATTAGAACATCAGTTGGATTTTATTTGGAAGGCAGCAGAGGAGCAGAAAGAGCATAAGAAGAAGTCCTAGTATAGCTTTATTATTGTTATATAATAATAAACAATTGAAAAAAGAGGATAAAGATATGATAATAAACTTTTTAATAATAGCAAGATTGTTTATAGCCTCTCTCTCTTACACACACCTACACATATACCCCATATATTTCCAACCAAAGCCCTGCCTTGAGAACTCTCAGAGATTGGGATGATTGAGGATCCTGCTCCCACCAGAGAGCTGCTGACTGGGATGCTGAATTTGGAACAGAAATCCCCAGGAATGAGGGGGCCTTACCAAGAGAGTCCACCATCCCATGAATCTCCTCCATGATCTGCATGTGCAAGGCTTTCTGATCAGGATCCAGGAGAACCCACTCCTCCGGGGAGAAAGGGACAGCCACCTCCTCAAAGGCAATTGGGCCCTGGAGGGAAAAGAAAGAGAAATCCTTCTCACCTGAGACTTGCATACCTGTGCATCTCACTGTTGGCTCATGTCCAACTTGTGGTCTACTAACACTCCAAGATCCCTTTCACATGGACTGTTGTCGAGCGAAATGTTACCAACCCTGTATCTCTGTATTGCGTATTTCCTACATTTCTCTTTGTTGAAATTAATTTTCAATTTTCAACCAGCTCTCTAACAAGTTAAGGCCATTTTGAATTCTCATCCTATCTTCTGGAGTATTATCTATCCCTCCTCATTTGGTCTCATCTGCAAACATGATAAGCACGCCCTCTGAACCTTCATCCAAGCCAATAAGAAAGGTGTGGAACAGCACTGGGCCCAGGACAGAACCCCCAAAAGAGCCCTGCAGCGCTCATCCCTTCTTTCCAGGATGAAGAGGAACCTCTGGGGAGCACCCCTTGTCCATTCTGGAAGACAGAGACACTCTTTGCCTCCTCCACTCTGGTCAGACTTCACCCGTTCTCCGGGAGTTCTCAAAGGTTATTGCCAGTGGTTCTGAAATTTCTTCTGTGAGTTCCTTCAGGACTCTTGGGTGTCATTCCTGTTGCCCTGGAGACTTGAATTCATTGAGAGTGCCCAGCTATTCCTGGACTGCTTCTTTACCTATTTTGGGTTGCATTTCCCCTATGACGCCATCTGCTGCATCTTGCTCAAGCGGAATATGGATTCCCTTTTGGGAGAGGACTGAGACCACGTTCTCCCTCTTCCCCATCCCCTGTGGTCATGGCACCACCTTCTCCAAGCACAGGCCCTATCACTTCTTCATTTTTCCTTCTTCTACTGACACAACCAAAGAACCCGCTTTTATTGTTTTTAATCTCTCTGGCAAGGTTGTCAGACGTTTTTCTTACTTATGCTGGTTAGTCATTTGAATTCTTTAGTGATTTCCCCCCTTTTCATTTCTCAAACACGTCCCTTTTAAATCTTAGCTCAGCTGAAAGTTCATTGAACATCCATTCTGGTTTCTTTAGACTACTCTTGTTTCCAATTGTGCCTTTAGTATCTCACTTTTAAGAAACTCCCATTCAATCTTTTCTGTTTCAAGAGATGTTTGATGATGAAGCCTGGAAGGAATGACCCACAGGCAGCTCCCTTCCTCCTCTCCCAGGAATCCTTCTGCTTACCTGATTCACTTCCACTCCATCACAAAACGACTGAGGATTCGGTAACAACCTCATTCCAGCCCCTGGGAGAGAGAGATAGTTAGATAGAGAGAGAGAGCAAGGGGTGAAAGGCTGATCACATAAACGTGCCTCAGAGGTTACAATTACAGTCCTATAAGGAAACCTATGAGGAAATGACCCTATGAACATAGGAACATTCAACACCCCAAGAATATGTAACATTTTAGGGTTCAGGACTTTGCCTCAGAAGGAGTGCTGTGAGTAAGTTGAAAGGAAAGGAGTCCTGGGCTTGGTATTTCTATTGACTAAAGTTACTGTTTGTTGCCTGTTTGTCTTCCAGCTCAGTTTCAAGGCTCATCTTCGGTTTGGGGGATTGTGAGAGTGGTCCAGCATTTCTGGGTTCACAAATAATATGCTGTGCCCAGGTTGGTTCATGAAGGGCTCGGCTATGGCTGACTTCTCTGGTTGAATCAGTCTGCAGTGCCTTTCCTTTGCCTTAATTCATGTCTGGGCAATGCTGCTGCGGTGTTTGGTGGCCCCTCTGTAGACTTGTCCACAGCTGCATGGTGTACGGTAGACTGCTGCAGAGGTGAGAGGACCCCTCTTGTCCTTTGCTGAGCGTAGCATTTGTACAAACCGACCCAGGACAATCCACAGATATATGAACCTCACTTACTTAGTTTTCAACAGACCCCTCAACCTCTGAAGATGCCTGGAATAGATGTGGGTGAAACGTCAGGAGAGAATGCTTCTGGAAAATGGCCATACAGCCCAAAAAATGCATAGCAACACAATAATAATAATAATAATAAGCATTGCGTGGGCAGTTCCTTGACAAAATTGAAGGAAAAGTTGATAAGGAGAAGACCTGGTTCTGGCTCACGAATGGAACCCTGAAGAAGGAGACAGAAGAAGGCCTGGTTCTGGCAGCCCAGGAGCACGCCATCAGAACCAGTGCCATTCAGGCCACGATTGAAGAATCAGAGGATGACCCAAAATGCAGACTGTGCAAGGAAGCTGAGGAAACCATGGAGCATCTCCTCAGCTGTTGCAAGAAAATTGCACAAACGGACTACAAACAAAGGTACAACTCTGTGGCCCAGAGGATTCACTGGAACTTATGTCACAAGTACCACCTGCCAATAGTAAAGAATTGGTGGGATCATAAACCTGCAAAGGTCGTGGAAAATGAACACGCAAAACTACTGTGGGACTTTCGAATCCAGACTGACAAAGTTTTGGAACACAATACACCAGACATCACGATTGTGGAAAAGAAAAAGGTCTGGATTATCGATATCGCCATACCAGTACTGGTGGTCCCAGTGGTCATTGGCACACTGGGTACCATGCCAAAAGATCTCAGTCAGCATTTGGAAACAATAAACGTTGACAAAATCACGATCTGTCAACTGCAAAAGGCCACCAGACTTGGATCTGTGCACATAATTCAAAAATACATCACACAGTCCTAGACACTTGGGAAGTGTTCTACTTGTGATTTGTGATACGAAATCCAGCATATAGATCTCGTTTGCTGTGACGTACTGTGTTTTTGTGTCAGTAAAATAATAATAACAATAATTATTTTATTTATTATCTGTCTCTCCGTGTGGCTCGAGGAGGGTTACAACACAATTTACAAAACACAAACACTGGAATATTCAATAAATATCCATATTTCTATAAAAGATCCACATTAAAACTTCTATGAAATATATATATTAAAGTTCATAAAACAGACATCAATATATGCCCATCTCAAGGCCAAATGATCCTTCATGGGCACCTTCTCAAATTCAAACTGTGTATGTGCTATAATCCCCCTGAAGGGGAATTTCCACTGGCATAAAACACCACAACTCCCAGAAGGGTTCCTTCTTACCCTGCCAGGCTGCAGCCCCCTCTCCTTCCTCTCCTTCCTCTCCTTCCTGCTTCAGCTCCTTCTGCTGGAGGCTCTGCGTGGTGTCCGAGTGAGGCTTTTCTGATGAAGGGACATCAGGCTGGACTTCCATGCAGTTATTTTGGGCCTGGAAGAGCAGATAGTATTCCAGAAGTCGTACGGAGAATTTTCAAAAATATCACAGACCTATGTGCAGAAACTGCATGGAATTTTTTTTTGAAAGAACAACTTCTGAGATGGCCACCTAACTAATGCTACCCTCCCCCTCCCATCATTTCCAGTGTGATATCCGGGGTCAACAAATTTGGATAGAGCAGCAACCCAGCTTACAGTGGATATCGAGGTGAGAGCAGGAGGGGAAGATCAGGGGGGAAAGAGGTTGAGGGAGCAGAGTCCGGCTTCTCCTTCACATTGGTCCCATCTTGGAAGGAAGGCAGGATGTACGTTTTATCTCTCCATCAGTCCCAAGGTGAGTGAAGCCAAGAGGCAATGCTCTCACCTGTCCTTCCTGCTTCTCGTCCTCTGCCCGACTCAGGAGGAAGCCTTCCGCCAGGGCCACCGCCTGGGAAGAGGTCTCTGCCCCACACTCTCGGACCCAGCTCCCCATCTCTGGGGGCAGGATGCTCAGGAACTGCTCCAGGATCACCAGGTCCAGCATCTCCGCCTTGGTGTGTTGCTCTGGCTTCAGCCATTGGCGGCAGAGAGAGTGGAGGCGGCTGCAAATCTCTCTGGGTCCCTCGCCCTCTCGGAAGGAGGAATGCCTGAAGCGCTGGCACTGTGTGTGCGCATCCAGGAACGTCTGTGTAGTTCTTTCCCAGGATTCCCCACTGCTCCCGGAGGCCTTGCCTGCTTCAGGTCCAGGTGAGTTGGGTCTCTCCATGTTGGAGCCACTCTGATGTAGAACCCAACCGTATCCAAGATGCCTTTCCTCCCTCTTTTCTCAAGGGAAAGGAATCCCTCAACAGGTTCTACTCTGAAATTCTCAGGCAAAAATCCCCTTTCCTCTGTGAAAGAAAGGCACAATTAGACAACAGGCTTCAGGAGGTGTTTCTTCTTGGAGAGCCAGGTAATGCTGGGCCCTCCGCTTCTCCAGCCTCCAGAGCCACCCGGCCTCCCATGGAGCTCCCATTAAGTCCCAACCCACACTGGATCCCCCCAAGATTGCTTCAGCTGATGCTACGTCCTCCATGGCCTCTCTTGTAATATTTATAAAACTCTATGTTCAAGAGACTTTAAATAACTGATCTATCAGCACTCTTCTATCTATATGTATATAAATGCGTACCTTATAACAAAAGAACCAATGAACGAAATCACACCAAATTTGGCAACAAAACGTCTCACAGCACAAGGAGTGACCATCATTCAAAAAATTATGCTTTTGTCATTTGGGAGTTGTAATTGCTGGGATTTATAGTTCACCTATAATCAAAGAGCATTCTGAACTCTACCAACGATGGAATTGAACCAAACTTGGCACAGAGGACTCCCATGACCAACAGAAAACACTAGAAGGGTTTGGTGGGCATTGACCTTGAGTTTGGGAGTTGTAGTTCACCTACATCCAGAGAGCACTGTGGACTCAAGCAATGATACAGCCCAAGAGAAGGCTGAGAGGAGATATGATAGCCATGTATAAATATGTGAGAGGAAGCCACAGGGAGGAGGGAGAAAGCTTGTTTTCTGCTTCCCTGGAGACTAGGACGCAATGGAGCAATGGCTTCAAACTTCAAGAAAGAAGATTCCACCTGAACATGAGGAAGAACTTCCTGACTGTGAGAGCCGTTCAGCAGTGGAACTCTCTGCCCCGGAGTGTGGTGGAGGCTCCTTCTTTGGAAGCTTTTAAACGGGGGTTGTATGGCCATCTGTCAGGGGTGCTTTGAATGCAATATTCCTGCTTCTTGGCAGAACGGGGTTGGACTGGATGGCCCATGAGGTCTCTTCCAACTCTTTGATTCTATGATTCTATGATGGATCTGGACCAAACTTGGCATGAATACTCAATATGCCCAAATAGGAGTACAGATGGAGTTTGGGGAAAATAGACCTTGACATTTGCGAGTTGTAGTTACCGGGATTTATAGCTCACCTACAATCATAGAATTGGGGCAAACTTCCCATACAGAACTCCCACGACCCTCAGAAAGTACTTCAGGCCTTCCAGGCCAACTCCCTTCACCAGGACAAGGGAACGCCATCAAAGCCCTCCTGACCAAGAGCCAGCTAGAGATATCGAGAGATAGATTGATATGATTCCCACACAAACAGGGATAGAGTATCCTAGATTGGAAAGGGACCCCTCAAGGAAGACCATGATGTGTTGCGTATCCCAGAGAAGGCAAACCAGACACTCTCCACATCGACACTGACAAAGAAACAGGAAGAAATACTGTTAGTGTTTTGTCAAAGGCTTTCATGGCTGGAATCACTAGGTCCTTGTGGGTTTTTTCGGGCTATAGGGCCATGTTCTAGAGGCATTTCTCCTGACGTTTCGCCTGCATCTATGGCAAGCATCCTCAGAGGTAGTGAGGTCTGTTGGAATGAGGACAATGGGTTTATATATCTGTGGAATGGCTGGGGTGGGGCAAGGAGCTCTTCCCTGCTGAAGCTAGGTGTGAATGTTTCAGCTGACCACCTTCATTAGCATTTGCCTGCTGAGCCTGGGAAATCTCTTGCTGGGAGGTGTTAAGTGCCTGATTGTTTACTCTCTGTTGTTTTGCTGTTGTAATTTTAGAGTTTTTTAATACTGGTAGCCAGATTTTGTTCATTTTCATGGTTTCTTCCTTTCTGTTGAAATTGTCCACATGCTTGTGGATTTCAATGGCTTCTCTGTGTAGCCTGACATGGTGGTTGTTGGTGTGGTCCAGCATTTCTGTGTTCTCAAATAATATGCTGTGATCAGCTGAAACATTCACACCTAACTGCAGCAGGGAAGAGCTCCTTGCCCCACCCGCCATTCCACAGATATATAAACCCATTGCCCTAATTCTCACAGACCTCACTACCTCTGAGGATGCTTGCCATAGATGCAGGCGAAATGTCAGGAGAAATGCCTCTCTAAATGGTTGCAGACCTTGTTCTCCCCGGTTGGAGAATGTGGGGACCCCCAACCAACCAACCAACCAACCCCAGGGGAGGCCAGGCCTGGCCCCCCTTTGGCCCTCCCTCCCTCCCTCCCTCCCTCCCTCCAGGTGTGTTGGGCTTCAGCCCCTCTTTGGCCCTTTGGAGAAGGAATGGGAAGAGGACTCACCGGAAGGAGGAGAGGAAGGAGGAGAGGAAGAAGGAGGAGGAAGAGGAGGAGAAGGAAGGAAACCAGGAGGAGGAAGAGGAAGAAGACTCCAAAGGAGACACTCCCCTCTCCCAGCAGGGCAAGGAAGTGTGAAGAGAAGGGAGGCGGGTTCCTAGAGGGGCAGGAAAAGAGGGTGTGGGGGGAGGCCCACTTCCTTCCTGCCTCTCTAGGAAGACCACACTCTCTCCCCTTAACCCTTCCTTGCCCAGCCTGACACTCCAAGGAGGGGAAAGAGCCTCTCTCCATTTTTATTTCTTTTGTCTGATTAGTGTCTTGAGAAACTGCAAGTCACTTCTGTTGTGAGAAAACTGGACGTTGCCCAGGGGATGCCCGGATGTTTTACCATCCAGTGGGAGGCTTCTCTCCTCTCCCCTCCTAAGAAGCTGGAGCTGACAGGTGGGAGCTCACCCTGCTCCCCGGAATAGAACCACAGACCTTCCCATCCGCAGTCCTGCCGGCAGAAGGGCTCGACCCGCGACACCAACAAAGACAATGACATAGATATATTATTTATTTATTTATTTATTGGGTTGTTGTAGGTTTTTTCGGGCTATATGGCCGTGTTCTAGAGGCATTCTCTCCTGACGTTTTGCCTACATCTATGGCAAGCACCGGGATTTCCTCCTGAGAAAAACGTATAATATCACAAAGGACGACCACCTCACCCGCCTAATAGGAAACCTGCTACAAAACAGGAGCTTCTTTGTTGAGTTCCAGGGCCAGAGAAGCAGATGGCGGAAACAGAAGAACGGCCTGCCTCCGGGGAGCGTGCTTGCTCCATCCATGTTCAACATCTACACAAATGACCCGACACTGCCAGAAGGGACAGAGAGTTTCATCTATGCTGATGATCGTGCCATTACCACTCAAGCAGGGAGCTTTGGGATGGTTGAACAGAAGCTTTCCAAAGCTCTAGGTGCTCTTACTGCCTATTACAGGGAAAACCAGCTGATCCCTAATCCATCTAAAACACAGACATGTGTCTTTCATCTCAAGAACAGAGAAGCATCCCGAGCTCTGAGGATTATCTGGGAAGGAATCCCACTGGAGCATTGCAGCGCACCCAAATACCTGGGAGTCACTCTGGACTGTGCTTTTACCTACAAGAAGCACTGGCAGAACATCAAGCAAAAAGTGGGCGCTAGAAACAATATCATACAAAAGCTGACCGGCACAACCTGGGGATCACAACCAGATACAGTGAAGACATCTGCCCTTGCGCTGTGCTACTCTGCTGCTGAGTATGCATGCCCAGTGTGGAACACATCTCACCACACTAAAACAGTGGATGTGGCTCTTAATGAGACATGCAGCATTATCACGGGGTTCCTGCGCCCTACAACACTGGAGAAATTACACTGCTTAGCCGGTATTGCACCACCTGACATCCGAAAGTAGCAGCCAATAGTGAAAGGACCAAGGCAGAGACATCTCCAGCTCATCCCCTGTTTGGGTATCAGCCAGCACGTCAACGACTTAAATCTAGAAATAGTTTTCTAAGATCTACAGAGACATTCGCTGGAACACCTCAGCAAGCGAGAGTCCAAAAGTGGCAGGCTCAAACCCAGAACCTCCATTAATGGCTGATACCAAATGAGAGACTCCCCCCTGGGCACACAGAAGACTGGGCGACTTGGAAGGCGCTGAACAGACTGCGCTCTGGCACCACGAGATGCAGAGACAACCTAAGAAATGGGGCCACAAAGTGGAATCCACGACATGCGAGTGTGGAGAAGAGCAAACCACTGACCACCTGCTGCAATGCAACCTGAGCCCTGCCACATGCACAATGGAGGACCTTCTTGCAGCAACACCAGAGGCATTCCAAGTGGCCAGGGACTGGCCAAAGGACATTTAATAGAATACCAAGTCTGCAAACTTTGTGTTTTGTTTGTTTTTTTGTTAAAAATGCAATGCAATTGTTGGTTGCGCCTGACACGATAAGTAAATGTAGCCGGGGGGAGGGGTGGTGGTGGTGGTGGTGGTGGTGGTGCTTGAATTCTCATGGTGGTCCGCGAGAAGGCCTTACTGGTACATTATTTAAACTGTGATGTTTATTCATATCATGATCTGATCGCCATGCTCAATATCCCATATGCATGGGGGTATTGGGGTCACGATTCAAAAGGTTTGCTAGGGTAGGCATCCCCTGCTGCGAGACCTGCTCTCCAAAGCCGCGCTCTGCCAAGGCCAGGGAAGCTTCATTCTAACCAAATTCTGAACTAAACTCTTTAAACCCCTGCTCATAGGGCTTGTTCTCCAGACCCTTGATCCTTTTAGTCGCTTTCCTCTGGACACATTCCAGGTAGTTAACTTTCCCTAACCATTGGTCCTTAGATGTTGTTTCTCCTGATTTCCAGAGTCTCGCTTGCTGTGGTTATTGAAAAGAATATCTTTATTTGTATCCAATTCAATATCAACATCCATCCTTTGCTTACATCCCAAATAGATTACTGCAACGCACTCTATGCGGTGCTGCCTTTGAAGACGGTTCAGAAACTCCAGCTAGTTCAATGGGCGGCAGCCAGATTACTAACTGGGGCGGCACCCCCCTGCTATGCCAGCTCCACTGGCTGCCGGTCCGAGCCCAATTCAAAGTGCTGGTTTTGACCTATAAAGCTCTATACTAGTGGTTCTCAACCTGGGGGTCGGGACCCCTGGAGGGGTCATGAGGGGGTGTCAGAGGCGTCACCAAAGACCACCAGAAAGCACAGTATTTTCTGTTGGTCATGGAGGTTTTGTGTGGGAAGTTTGGCCCAATTTAATCGTTGGTAGGGTTCAGAATGCTCTTTGATTGTAGGTGAACTATAAATCCCAGCAACTACAACTCCAAATGTCAAGGTCTATTTCCCCCAAACTCCACCAGTGTTTACATTTGGGCATACTGAGTACTTGTGCCAAGTTTGGTCCAGATGCATCATTGTTTGAGTCCACAGTGCTGTCTGGATGTAGGTAAACTACAACTCTCAAAACTCAAGGTCAGTGCCCACCAAACCCTTAAAGTATTTTCTGTTGGTCATGGGAGTTCTGTGTGCCAAGTTTGATTCAATTCCATCATTGGTGGAGTTCAGAATGCTCAGATTGTAGGTGAACTATAAATCCCAGCAACTACAACTCCTGGAGGACAAAATCAATACCCTCCCCAAATCCCACCAGTATTCAAATTTGGGTGTATTGGGTATTTGTGCCAAATTTGGTCCAGTGAATGAAAAGACATCCTGCATATCAGATATTTACATTACTATTCATAACAGTAGCAAAATGACAGTGATGAAGTAGCAATGAAACTAATTTTATGGTTGGGGTCACCATAACAGGAAGAAGCGTATTAAGGGGTCGTGGCATTAGGAAGGTTGAGAACCACTGCTCTATACGGTTCTGGCCTAGCTTACTTGTCCGAACGCATCCACCCCTACATCCCACCTCGTAATTTAAGATCACCCGGGGAGGCCCTGCTCTCGCTCCCGTCAACAGCACAGATGTGCCTGGTGGGGACGAGACAGGGCCTTCTCGGCTATGGCCCCCCGCATATGGAACACACTCTCAAATGAGGTAAGATCCACTCCCTCCTTCCTGGCTTTTAGAAAAAAAATTAAAATCGTGGTTTTGGGACCAGGCCTTCGGGCAGTAGAAGGAAATGTATGCAGCATTTCGGAAAGACAATGACTGGAACGGCGATTCGACGGACGAGACTGTTTGATTGTTTTAATGATTGTTTTATTGCTCATGAATGTATTTTAAAATTTAATTTATGTAGTGTATAATTGTAATTGTTTGTACTGGCATTGAATTTTTGCCGTTACTTATGTGTAAACCGCTTTGAGTCCCCCTCGGGGTGAGAAAAGCGGTATACAAATACTGTAAATAAATTAGTTCTAATAAAAAAAAATATTCTGGTTCCATTTGGATTCTTATTTTCCGTATCTTCTGGCATGCCTCCTGTATCTCTTTCCAATAATGACTTGCTTTTGGACAGTTCCACCACATGGAGTGAAAGGTACCTTCTTGAATTCCACATTTCCAACACTTATTCTGCGTGTCCTTATAAATAATTCCTAATTTTTGTGGCTTCGTGTACCATCAATCTGCCCTGAGTCCCTTTGTTGTTGTTGTTGTTGTTATTATTATCATCGGTACATCATGTTCTACCTGTTTTCTTTTCAGTCACTTGCATAAGTGTCTTTCAGCCTTTTATTCCACCTCTGTTGGCCAATATTAGCGGACCATTTTAGCATACAATTTTTTTACAATTTCTGTTGTAAAAACTGAATGCTTTTTCTCCTTACTCTCCAGACAAACCGATTTATTTGGGAAGCTTCTATATCGCCGTTCTCCAATGGAATCAAGGTGGTTTACAGCAACATTAAAGCGCACAATATAAAACAACGCCATTGTAAACAGCCCAAATTAGAACACAAGTCCTTCTTTGCAACACATTAAAACTATCAGTTAACATAGGTTAGAACCACCTAAAACTTCCCATATATTCCTCAACACTAGAAAGCGCTGTATATCCTAAGCTTCTGTGCAGTTCACTTAAAGTCTATTATTCCCTTAATATAAGATCCAGGGACTTAAATTTTGCAAAATAGATCAAATTCTAATAGTCTATATAACAAAATCAATGATATATAACATTGTTAGTAATAAATAATAAAACTTTATTTATATTCCGCTCTATCTCCCCGAAGGGACTCAGGGCGAATTACAAACATAAAAGGCAAAGGGTTGTTGTAGGTTTTTTCAAGTTATATGGCCATGTTCTAGAGGCATTTTCTCCTGACGTTTCGCCTGCATCTACGGCAAGCACCCTCAGAGGTAGTGAGGTCTTTTGGAACTAGGAAAATGGGTTTATATATCAATGGAATGACCAGGGTGGGGCAAAGAACTCTTTTCTGTTGGATCTAGGTGGGAATGTTTGGACACAGTGTGATTCCAGGTGTGGTCCAACCATGGAAGACGAGAGCAAGGGTAGCATGACACTAAGAAGAACATGGTCAAGGAAATGAGTCCAAAGTCAAGCCAAGTGTTACTGGAAGCCATTTCATCTGCCATTTCCCT